GGGCTGGTTTTGACACGTGGCGTCTCATCAGCAGAGTCAGGCTTGCTTCAATCAATGCTGGCGAACTGTCGGTCTTACAGACAAGGACCCGCTCGTTACACTCCGGGGCCCGAGTTCGACGCAAAATTATATTACTATAATAAGCAGACGATAAGACATATTGTCTGCTTATTTATTTCGTTATTTATATTCTCTCCGACGACGACGCTAATGATGTTGTTATTTTTGTCCGTTGGCATCAGTTGAGCCTTGTCTTCCCGTTGTTGTCATGGCGATTAAATTTGCCCCCATTCGCCCAGCGAACACATTCCTGGGATACTTTCATCAGCGACGTGGGCGCGGCGTCCCCGCGGTTCTCATGAAAGATTAATCCCGAGTGAGAAAAAGAAACATGTCGACGCGTTTGGAGATGTGAAATGTAACTTCGACGAAATATTCTGTGCGGGATGTGAGAGTGCACATGTACAGTCAGGTGTCATTGGCATTAATTATCCAGCGTCTCCCCAATTCTGGGGTGCCACCGTGGCTAGGAGATGTTAACTACCTCGCCTGGTACGCAGGAGGTCGTGGGTTTGATCCCGACGCTGACACCTGCTGTATATTTGGAGTTTGCATGTCTCTGTGTCTCATCATCATCATCATCACGGTGGCTAGGAGATGTTAACTACCTCGCCTGGTACGCAGGAGGTCGTGGGTTTGATCCCGACGCTGACACCTGCTGTATATTTGGAGTTTGCATGTCTCTGTGTCTCATCATCATCATCATCACGGTGGCTAGGAGATGTTAACTACCTCGCCTGGTACGCAGGAGGTCGTGGGTTTGATCCCGACGCTGACACCTGCTGCTGTATATTTGGAGTTTGCGTGTCTCTCTCCCAGTGGTCGCGTGCATTTTCCTCCGGGTCCTCCGGTTTTTCCCTCCACATTTACAAACACGTGTTTTTTGGCGGCTATAAAATCCCACGCCATAAGCCACTTTGTTGAGCTATAAATTGTGGCCAGGTCGCTTCTGAAAAAGATCTATATAGCTCAGTGGGTCTTACCTGGTAAAATAAAAAACATGCATATTTAATCCGGTTAAGAATAGACTGACTTTATCTCGTTTTTACATCGCCTGCCTTCGTACCCATTCGTTTGTAATCACCTCCCTCCCCCACAATTCCGGCGATCGATCCGATCAAGAGCCCATGCTTATTTCCCCTCGTTCGTGCCGTTTCATTTGTCTTCTGTCTCGTTCGCTGCATATTACTTGTTTTTAAATGTACCTGTTAGGAGATGAATTTGCATAACCGTTAAGATCGGGGTATAGGGGCCCTTTGAGCCAAGGAGCTCGTTCAAGGGTGACCCCAGAGCGGAATGGAGGAGGAAAGGGGGAGGAGGGAGGCAAAGGGGTGTGGGAGGGGTGGTGAAAGGGAAGATACAGTGCAGAAAAATGCAACATATTGTGAATCATTCTTACACGCGCATCAATGCACGCATTGTAAGAATTGATTGTCATCGTTGATTCACCATTCAATGCCTCGTAGAGTGAAACGCCACACGTGGCCCTGGCGGCAGAGCAAGGGGCTGGCGGTTGGAAAGGTTGCTAGTTCACATCCTGGTTGGGGCTAGCGTCCCTTCCCATGGGATCGATAACATTAATTATCACACTTTTGTAGGGAAGTCAACAGCGTTTTTTCTTTTTCTGAACAGACTCACATTCACCACAGGAAAATGTGGAATTTCCGTCACTGGCTCAAGTCAGGGTTGTGAAGGGGAGATAAGAGCATCGAGGCTTCAAATGCTCAGTTGAGAAATGAATTTTCCATTATTGACTTCCACTCCCTGCGTAATGTTTGGCCCGCGCCTGGCCCTCACTCTGCCCAGACCTGCTTGCCAAGTTCCAGCTTAAACTGCCAAAACCGCTTCGGGTTTGGCCAGGGGGGGGGGTGGGGGGGGTTGAGAATGTGGACGGCACTTCCACAATTTCGGGGAAACCTCGGCCAGCCGTCATCGCCGCGACCCAGCAGACGCACAATGGCTGGACCGACTAATGTTGTTGGACTGGGATTTACCCCGAAGCAACTGAAAGTAGCATGCTTTGGCATTGGCAGAGATGATATTTACCAGTTGATGAAGATACACTGATATATAAACAGTATATCCATGGGTGGGGTTTGGGGGGGGGGCACCGAGGGGGGCAATGCCCCCCCCCCCCCAACTGGGCACCTTTATTAATTTGTTTTCAGTAGTTTACAATTAAGATCAAACATAAATAAATTATATCACCCGCGATTCATAATATGAGGGACAAAGCGAACCCCTGCCCCCCCCCCCCCAAATATAGAAGTCAAACTCCACCTGTGTATTTATCCAGTCTCTGTCATTGTCGTCATCATCATCCATGGTCAGCCCACTGTTGGATGAAGAGCTCCTCAGCCCGACGCCACTTCTCACGATCTTGCGATGCACTAATCCACCGAGTGCGTGACACACGAGCTGAATTCATCACTCCATCTCACTGGTGTTGTGTCATCTCTGATGCATTCCATTCCTTGGCGATAGATCCCGCATGAAGCCAAGCGTGGCATACCTAACAGTGAAGTTGCATTCCTTGATGCTCTTGTCATGTATTCTGTCACGTAATTGTACTCTCAACGCTGTGAAAGTAATTTCACCGAGCCAAATTACATCAGAAGACATATTTCTTCTTCTGATATTAAGATGTATTTGCACGGTAATTCTATTTTGCTTATACCCAGTTCGTCCTGATATGATTATGATGGTGCTGTTATTATGTTTCCTTGCTGAACTTTGCTTTACGTATTTAAAAACAAGTTCGGTGAATTCTGCCGTGGTTAAACAAAATCAAACTAAACCATGAGAGTGATGGGAAAACTCAACACGTTTGTTGGTTACATCGCGGCCTCAAAAAGGGAAAAATACAATCGGTGACGTTTCGGACAATGGCCCTTCCACAAAGCAAATGATGTCGAGGCCAGAGAGAGTAAAATGAATTTGAGATTGCACTTTGATAAAATAAAAATTAAACATTATTTATTTATGGCTTATCAATAGTTACCTATCAGTAATTATTGAGCAAGCAGAAACCCCCATTCGAAAGTAAAATCATAAACCGTTGCTGGCACCTGCTCGAGTGACCGAGTTGCGTCTGGCCAGTGAAAACACCTCTTGTCGAAAGGTGCGTTGACTGAACAATGATTGGTCTACCTCTGGTGGCCATGTGACCTCTGCCTGCGCTCCGATTGGAAGGCATCAACCCTGTTGCTCACCGGGGGGGCAGCAGTGATCAGAATTTGCCAAGCTTTGGGCAACTGATTGTCTGAAAATTGTACATGCGCAGCAAACATTGTGAACCGGGTTTGACTCGAACACAGTGGTGATGCCACCAATAACCGGTACTTGTTGGGGAATGGTGGTGGTGTGTGTTTCACTACAAACCGGACATTTCTTTTTTTAATATTGATGGGGACATACTTCATGTCAATGTTAAGCTGATTATGTGGGTGAGATAATAGCCCACGAGCGCATCCTACTTAACAGGTCATTATCATAACACGGCCCTCTAAAGTCAAGAGTTTAGTCGACCTTGGTTCACCGTTGACTGCATTAATCAGAGCTCTGAGCTGAGTTGCTGGGGTTTAATTTAGAGTTTAAACTCACTGCCTATGATAATAGGGTTTCCCTCCTTTTTTCTGGCAACAAAACTGAAACCTTTTTACAAGGAATCATGTGTGCATTAACCACAATACTTGTGGTCAAAATGCAAACAAAAAACATACTGATAATATATGCATTGTCCTTGAAACTGATTGGTCCACACCAGAGACGGCTTTCTTTTGAGCCTCGTCTCAATTGGTGCTAGACCAGAGGACGCCAAAAGGCGTACAGCTCAAAGACAATGCACTATCAAAGTAATGAGGGCTCGGGGTGAGCATCTACATCATTAGACCTGCTTTGCCAGTACAAAAAAAAGGGGGGGGGAAACCTATTATTATTTCTTGGTACTGGCAAAGGAGGTCTAATGATGTAAATGCTCACCCGAGCCCTCATTACTTTGATAGTGCATTGTCTTTGAACTGTACGACTTTTGGCGTCCTCTGGTCTAGCACCAATTGAGACGAGGCTCAAAACAAAGCCGTCTCTGGTGTGGACCAATCAGTTTCAAGGACAATGCATATATTGTCAGTGTGTTTTTTTTGCATTTTGACCACAAGTATTGTGTTTAATGCCACATGATTCCTTGTAAAAAGGTTTCAGTTTTGTTGCCAGAAAAAAGGGGAAAACCCCTATTATTATATTTTGGTACTGCCAAAGGAGGTCTAATGATGTCACTGCCTATGATTAGACAGGGGTTTTAAGCGTAACCGCTTGATCACATCAGCTCAGTTTCCAATGAACGCACACAGACACACAAAGCCTTGTCAAATTATATCTGGCTTCACCCTTGTTTTAGGAAAATTCCATTTCTAGTCAGTATAAAATATATCGGTTTTAATGTCGTCTTTGTGGCAGGGCGAGTGGAAAAATGCTGCCCCATAGTGCGTGTACAAGCGGTAACTGAAGACATTTCAGAGGTAGCTCTATGATATCCCCTTCCGGAGTGCTGCACCCCTCCGCGAGAGACACAAATTCATTTTCGGCTACCCGCCCCCCTCGCTCATGCCCCATGACCTCCATCACTGAATCGGATGTCACAGGTGCGATTTAACGAGCGCGCCTGAAATGCTGGTAGATTGAGCCTCATTAGTCCACATTCACTGCGAATGTATTCTTTCCCCTAAGTGACCTAGCCTAGCCGCACAGCCACCTTGCCAACCGTGTGTTTGTGTAGGACGATCGCCGATGTCAAAGGAGTAATGCCCCTCATCTCTCCACGCTCTGAATTGGTCCCCCAATTTGTCATTGTCCCCCCCCCCCTTCATCATCACTCTGGTGTCCCCTCCTATTCACCACCCTCTTATCTCCCCTCGCCTTCCCCCCCCCCCCTTATCCTGCAGGAATCTCCTGGACATGGACACGTTCTCCAAGTCGGACCCAAGTAAGTGATGCCTTGACAAAGGCCCACAATGAGAGGCCACAGGAGCAGCCGGTAAAAATGAAAAAAGGGGGTGGGCCCATGGCACTAACGAGTGTGCTGGCGGTGGCAGCCGTGCCAGGACCCACAGGACAAGAGGACCCCCCAGGCGCCGGGCTACTAAGGGGAATGAGAAATTGCACCAGGGCCCCATTGTCATGCTCGCTACACCACTGATAGCCGTGGCTGAGTAATGCGACGGTGTTGAGATGACCTACGGCGTATTAATGTTGAACTTGTTTCGCACCGTACATAGTCAACCGTGCTCATCGGAGGGTCACTGTCCCTGTGATCCACCACTTGGGAGGCAAGAGTTGGTGGATTGCGTGGCATCTGAGAGATGGCAGTTACAGCAACGGGGTGCTTGAATCCTCCTGTGTGGACCTCTGTTATCCTATTGCACGCATGGGTTTTCTCCGGATGCACCCGTTTTCCCTCCGCAAGAAAAATCCAACGTTCATGAATGAGATTGGCCAAACATTCCATGAGATGAGAGGAACCCGTGTAAAAACGAGTCTCGAGACTCGGTGTGTGCTTCCTGTTATAGAGCAGTGGTTCTTGACCTTGGCTGCAGCCTGCACCCCTTTGGTTCTCAGAAAGGGCATCACCCCCCCCCCAGGAGGTACGTGCACCCCAGGTTAAGAACTGCTGGTAGAGAGTATTAATATTGCATCATTACAAAAAATATATAATTATGATTAACAATGGTAATGAATTTGCTTGAATTTGTTTTGTGAATGCACTAGGCTTCAAGTTCATTTATTCAAGTTCATTTATTAGGTATAGCCCTGTGAGCAATTCGGCTCTTGAATAGGGTGCAACCGCAACAAACAAAAAACAAAAACATGAACAAGAAAACATCTTAAAGGGACTATGTGACTATGTGCAAACAGAAAATCCAAGAAAAGACAGCAAAATATTGCAGTATTGCATGCTGCAGCTGCAATATTTCATGCTGCTTTGCGGATCTCAATTAGATGTGAAAGGTGCTGTCCAGCTACTTTGCGATGCCGTATACATTGATATGCACGGTACTTATAATCAGCGGTGCTAAGCACGGGTCCAAAGGCCCAAACACACCAAGCGGGCAGCAACGGGCGGCACCTTTCAGGTTATAATCGGTGCCCGTTAACGTTCACGTGAAGGAGAGGTGCCGTGAACAGTCTGATGCATGCGGAGGCGGCTGCGGCGAAGTCGCTGCCACAACTGTGCCACGCTTTACAAAATGAGCAATAAACAAAACACCTGCTTGGCAAATGTTGCCCCATTGCTGGTGATGGGAGGCACTGGCACCCTTTTCGCTGAGGAAATACGATTGAAGTAAACATTTGGCACGATAAGTAACTGGTCCAGCACTCGACTGTAGGAGCGTTGGCCTGCAAAAAATGTGCTAAATATGAACACATTTACTTTTCCTGCCATCGAGATACTTTTCATGCCACTTTGTCTTTAGAAGCCAGCCTGGCTTTTTGCTGACTTAGCGGTAGAGGGAGTGGCTCGCAATTTAAAGGCAGCCCATCATACCTTCAGGATAGATAAAATTAAGTACTGCTTTATGGGGAAGTCACCAGCGGTTATTCTATGGAAATACTTGCCTTCACCATATGAATGGAGAATTTCCACGACTGGCTCATTTAAGCAAGGAAACCACTTTGACTTTGATGTAAGCGGCACATTCGGACAAACAAAATAAACGTTTATGGGACAGTTATAAAACATTTGGAATTCATCAGTGGCAGCCATGGCCAAACCTACTCAATGTCCTGTGGCTCCAGTAGCCCAAGAACATTGGGCCTGGGTCTCGGCGAGAGCGTTAAGCGTGTCAGCAAGTTTCCCGCTCTTCCAAATCGACTCGAGCAGACGGCCGAGTTCCCCCACTGCGGAGGTAGCTGGCGGTGGCGCTGATCTGCGCGAGTCGAGTCGTTGTGATGATTGTTAGTTTCACGACATCGCGTCTGGCCGGTGAGCTGCGTAGATTCTCCGTCGTCCGCGTTCTCAGTCGTCGAGCTTAGCGGCCATCTCGGGCAAACGTCGCCTCAGACGACGCGATCTCGAGCGTTGTAAGAAGCCAAAGTGATTTCCTGCTCAAACGAGCTGCAAGCCGGTGCTTATCTCCTGTTTACAGCATTGAGGCAGTGGCTGGAAATTACATGTTCACATGACGAGGGCGAGTCCATCCAAAGAACAACCACTTGTTTTACTTCCCCCACAAGGTGGTGCCTATATTATTCATAATAGAGTTACTTGGGTTAGATCGTGAAAATAGAAATGTGTCGTTAAACCTGCCACCACCTGACACAGCCAATTAGTCAGGTTTGTCACAGAAACAAAATATACAAATTTGTAATCTACAAACCTCTCAACCGATACGGTTTACCTGTAATTTTTTACAGGGAAATTAAGTTCTCAGGTCCATATGGCGTACAGCCGTTTTTATTCGGGCAAATAGTTTTTGTCTATTTGTTTGTGTTTCTCCCTTGTGGAACGTCGAGATTTATACGGGTACGGGGCCACCAATGAGGTCTGAATTGGTCTGTAATACGGTAGGCACTGATAAGCAGTTGGCAGGAATGTAACTAGTTCAACATACAAGTGTGTTGGAGCGTAAACCCACAACTTTTACAATTCGAGCACAACATTTCGCCGGTAATTACAAACCAGCCTCGTCAGGCGACAGCCAGAGTTGTAGATAAATCTTCCTGTTTAGGTCTTAAACAGAGAGATAAATGTGATGTCGTCACTTGGATAATACCGATCGCGACAGCCTAGGTGCGTATCTTATCGACTCCAGAGTGACTATGGGCTGAGTGAACCCTCAAACAGGAATTGAACTCGCAACCTTCCGATGCCTCGGCGCTCGCTCTACCACTGAGCCACCTGGGTTGTTGCATGACAAGGGCTCAATTCTTTTAGCCGGGTCCGGCTGTCCGGCTCGGTGATCCGGAAAACATTACCACACCGGGGCACACCGCATCCAAATCCGCTCTCTCGCTGCGCACCGTGGCCGCCGTTCGTCACGTGTGCCACTGACTCCGGTTGAGCGACGACGCAGGAACATTTATTCGGGGGGGGGGGGGGGGGGGAGAAATTAAGCCCCTGGCCGTAACATCTTAAGGAATGTGTAAGCCTGTTCCACCCTCTCGAATAATGTTGAGCAAAATTACATCGGCTCGTAATCCCGTGGGTTTTTTCGCTGCCCCTCCGTGGGGGGAGTAACGCCACGGCCATCGCGCGTTAACTTCACGCTGTGCCGATCTGTGCATGTGTCTGGCCCCCCTTTCCTTCTGTCGTGTCCAGTTTGCGTGATGTACGTCCAAGCCGTAGGCAGCCAGGAGTGGCGGGAGGTAAGGTGTTCTCTCTGTCCCAGTCCTTGCTGTCTATCTGTGTCTGTCTGTCTGCCACGCCACGCCCTAATGCCTGCCTTTAAATGAACACATTCCTGCGGAGGGAGCTGGTAGGAAGGTTGGGTTGCTCGGTCAATAGCCAGGGTCAACGGCGGCGTAAATATGGCCGACCGTGAGGGCGGGCACAAGCCGGCGTGAGGAGGTTAAACGTTGAGTTTTATAAGGGCACCACGGGGTGACCATCCCCTCCCCGCCCCTCCCACCCCCCACCCAGCCCCTCCCCACCCAGCCCCTCCCCACCTTCCCCTCTCCACCCCTCCCATTTTTGGATGCACGACGGACAGACACAATAATCCCCTGTGAGCTGGTGTAACCAGGAGGTTCCTACCAGTAAAATTCCTTTTATTGTCGTAGCGTCCCAAAGAAGCTGTGGTTGGCGTGCTGATCCAAACAACTGCAGAGATCCTGGCTTCGAATCCGGGTTTCACCCGCCCATGATTAAAACCGGGTTAGCCAATCGCAGTGAGTCAATGGTCACATGCTGTGCAGCCCGGTCGCGAATAGCAAAAATACGATCGTGTTACATTCGGTTTATCAGTTGGGATACATTCCAGCTCTGAGAAGAAAAATATCGTTTTGACGGTCACGTGACGAATGTTCCTCTCCAATGCAGAGTGGGTGGGGGGCACTGTCCTCTGCTCGGTGCGCACCAGAGGTGACTTGGAGGGATCTCAGAGGTCGCTCGCTCTGTGCTTTCTGCTTGTTTGGCCTCTATGACACTGACAAAATTTGAAAAAGTTGCAAACTAATTTGCTTAACGAATGAAGACAAGACCGTAGGCAAATTTAAACAAACAGATGGTTAATTCCTAATTTACGTTCCCAACGTGTGCGTGTGTGTCAATGTGTGTGTGTGTCTGTATGTGCGTGTGTCTGTGTTGCTGGGAGCGGTAGTGTCACAGTGTGCCGCACTGCGAACCCGACAATTCGAGTTCAATTCCCTCTCAGCATTGATGAATATCTGAACCGCTCCTGGGCTTCCCCTAGGTCAACTCAACCTCAAATTGAGTACTTAGTACGATGTGTAAACATCACCACTAGGGAGCCAAAGGTGGCCGGGCGTGTTGCTGTGCTGTACAGCCTTCTATAGATGCTCGCTAACAGCAATTGCCCCAACAGTCTCTTAAAGGCTATGAGGGTTGTCTTTGTGTTTGTTTGGGAACGGTGTGTGCGCGGGTGTGGTTTCTGTCGGCAGTTTGGCCGCACGGAGGTGATCGACAACACTCTGAATCCGGACTTCGTGCGGAAGTTCATCATGGACTACCTGTTTGAAGAACGGCAGAACCTTCGCTTTGACCTGTAATGCCACATCGCCTAATCACGCTGTCACTCCAACTCGCTCCCACCAACCCCCCCCCCCCCCCCCCGGCGCACACCCTCGCAGTCGCGCGAGTTGCAGTAGCGTGGACGAGGAGCGCCACGACTCGTTAGATCGATTCTTCCCCGCTCACGATGTGCGCGTCGAATTGGACGCGTGGCAATGTGGCCCTTTGAAAACTTACCCCAAATCGTGCGTGCAAATTACACGATCTTGGGGAGTTTCACAAATGGGGTGGCTTCGCAATAAAATATTGACAATCAACCTGTCGGTGTCATGTTGAAGGTAATTATTTCCTGTTTTGACGACAAACGGCTTATTAATTCAATTCGGCAATTGTTTGACACCCACACCGGTACGTCCGTCACCGTGGGATTTTCACGAGCATTTCTCCCTCATCCAGAAATGTGGACAACGCTATTTCTTGGTAAATCGCGGCCGCGGTCGGTTGAAATCGAGAACCACATGCAGTCAAAGAGCCACTTCACAATTACACTCCCATTTGTCCCGCTCCTTTAAATTGCCTGAGATGTACGTCCAACATCGTGGAAGTGCACTCACGCGACTGGATATGGAGACCGATCGAGCAAATGAATGGGAAACAACACAAACGCGATGGTACAAATGTGGCGATTATTTTTTTTACTCAAATTTATAATGGAGTTTTTACATTAAGAAGTCAACAGAGCTATGTGCTTTTAAATCATCGTCTAGATTGAAAACTCATTTCTTTAGAACTGCTTTTTTGTTCAGTTTATTGTCTCTCCCCCGCACCTCTGATTAGCCACGGCTGGCTATGTACGGCTGCATACACACAACAACACGCACAACACAATCATGCTCGCGCAATATAATATCGATGGACACCTCGCGACTAAACGTGATTCGGGACGCTGTACAGAAACAGCTGACGTGTTTATTTAACAGAGGAGAGGCGGGAGAAAGGCGTTGAAGTGTAAAGGTGTGAGCGATGTCCAGGTATCTGGTGGGATCATTTCGGTGGAGGGAGGGCAGCTTGTGGAGACTTTCATCCAGCGGTGCATTGACCGTGGCCGATGACGCTGGATTCGTAACGCAATGGCCGATTTTCATTGATGAACTATCGGCACCGCTGCCCGCCAGTCCGGTTGCCTCCTTGGATCCCCGCGCAGCAAACGCCCTCTGAGATGTACTCCGGGCACTCGGGCGGGTGGTTAACATGAAGCTGCCGCGCAATTCCCCGCGCAATGCACGAGGAGTTATGAGAGCCCTCCCTCCGTGTAGCCGTCCCCTAATAATGCACAACAGCTCGTGAACGAGATGACTGCACACCCACCGCATCTCACGGTCTCTGACATCTCGTGTTCATCTTCTCCCCGAAGCACCGACGCCTTGTTTACCGCACCGACAATGCACCCCCCCCCCCCTCTCCGTTCGCCGTGTGAGTGGCAGTAATTCATCGTCGTCATCCCCAGCCGATTTCATCGCTCCATCTCTGCTGTAGACTCCCTCTCGGGGAGTGTTCCGCCCTTTGGCTGCCACTCCATTTTCAGTCTCAGCCACACAGGAGTAGAAGCCTTTTTGGGGGTTTTTATTTTTAAGTCAATCTGAAATTTTCGCTGTTGATTATGTTGTTGTTGTTTGTTGCTGTGTTGCCCAGGACCCAATCTCGCTGCGTTGTGATGACCTAAGTCACACCATTTGTTGTTTTCGTTCTGTTTTTTTTTTGGCTTTTAGGTTTGATGTGGATTCACGAAGCTCCAACCTCTCCAAGCATGTGAGTCACGCGCACAGTTCACTCGTGATACAAATACAAAGATCCCCCATATAGCCTTAACAGACCGTTGGGGAAAGTGTTGTTAGCGAGCACCTAATGAAGGCTGGCACGGCACACGAAGGGGTGGGTGGCCACCACCGCGTGCGGCTGCCTTTGTCTCCCTTGTGGCAATGTTTACACGCCACACAAGGTTCTCATTGGAGGCTAATTATGAACTTAGACACACACACGCGCCCACTTACACATTCGTGCGTGTATGCACATGCCTCGTGCCCTCCCACACGCGAGCACACACTTGGCAAGGTTGCTGGCACTTGCGTCACGAGTTATGTAATGGTAAACAATCACACGAGAGTGCTTCGTTAAATACATACGTTCACAATTGGGGCCATCGCTGCTCTCCGATGTGGTTTTCGGACCGTGCCGTGCGTTGTTTTTCGCAACGATGCCCGACGTACTGGGAGCTTCTTCAGGGACTGACTTGAAGAAGATCTCAGCAGGAACGAACGATGCAACACACACGTCGGCGCACACCATGGCACACGTACACACGCGCACCCACACACACACGCGCACGATCTGACCTAATCCATTACCTGTGTGCCATCTTTGTCTGCACTGCCCCTGGGAATAAACAGAAGGTAACATTTGAAAAAAAACAAAAAAAAACACTCTCCCTCCACGAACCACTCCTTCCCTTCGATAGCTGAACCACCAGCACCCTCAACCCTCCCACCACCGTCCTACCAAAGTCTTCATACACCCTCTCCTCCTCCTCGATGGTTCCTTCCGCTCCCGCACCGCAACCTGTTCCTGTCAGTCCCCTCACCGCTGCTCCTAACCCCCACCGCGCACACCCTCCTGGATGTCACGAACCGTTCGGAGCGTGGACATTCTTGGCTGTCACCCCATTGCACCGCAAACAGGCAACGGCCGACCCAGAAACTCGCACACCCACGCACCCCCATGCGACCACGCACCCACACACCCACACACCCACACATCCACACAACCGCACACCCACACACCCGCACACCCGCACACATGCACACCCATGCACCCACACATCCACACACCCACACACCCACACACCCGTACACCCACACACATGCACACCCATGCACCCACACATCCACAAACCCACATGCCCACACACCCACACACCCGCACACCCACATACCCGGAAACCCAAATTAACGGGGCTTGGTTTCTTGCTGGTAGACCGGCGTAAGCACGTGACCGGTAGCCACAGCCATAGCGAGATGTGTACTGGATGTGGCCGTGACGAGAGTGAAAATATTTCCATGGTCACTGGACAATATTTCACGGACAGATTGGCCCGGCTGAAATGAAACCCTGGTCTCACGTAGAGACCCAAAGGCTTAACGTAGACTTAGACAAGCGTGAGCTTACAGAGACATATCGAGAGACCTATACACTCACATATACAGAGCCGCAGTCTCATTCAGATCATTTCTTCCTGAGTTGTTGTTGGTAGCCAGGAGTAAGTGGCAACTTGACCAGCACAGGTTTCCCTTACTTTATGTGGTAGATGCTTTCCAAAAAAAGGGCTTCACAAAGAAAAAAACGCACGAGACAGATGCCTGCCGAGCAGCGCGCACAGTACACGCACAACGCTGAGCAGCGCGCACAGTACACGCACAACGCTGTCCCACACCCGACCGCGTAGCCGCATATGAGAGCGAAATTTGAGCAGAAATAGGTTTGTAGCATATATCCGCAAAATCGCACAAATCGAACTCACACGAAGCGAAAGGAAACCTGAATCTCCAGAGATGTATACTGGGTGTATGGTGTACCGCATGGGGAAACAGGCCTGGGTGTCACCAATGTCTTGTGACGCATGCCATCGAATAAAAGCAATACCATTTGCTTACGCCGCCCAGGTGCCTTGTGGAACACCATCTGCACCACAGATGTGGCACCTGCAAAAATGGCAAGACAAAGATCCCCCCTAGAGCCTTCACAGACTGTTGGGGCAAGGGCTGTTAGCGAGCACCTATGAAGGCCGGCATGGCACACAAGGGGGTGGGTGGCCAGCACCACATACGGCCGCCTTTGTCTCCCCAGTGGCGATGCTTACACACCGCACTGGGTACTCATTTGAGGCTGAGTCGACCTAGGGTAGGCCCAGGACCGATTCAGATAATCGTCACTGGTGTTGGCCGTGAGCGGAAATTGAACCCGGGTCGTCGGGTTCGTAACGCAGCACAGCGCTAACCGCTACACCACCGCTCCCCACACACAAACATACACACGCACATACAGACACGCACACACACACGCACGTACGTGGAAACAGCCTATACCTCCCATTAATGGTTTAAATGGCGGTAATTGTGTAGGTGAATTTTTTTAATTGTACACAGTAAACACGGTTATGACTGTAACAGCGACGTTACATAAGCAGTCTGTGAAGTAGAGAGCAAAAGGCCGCTGGGATTGTGTGTGTGTAGTGCCAGCATGTGTGTCTGTGTGTGCACGTGCGTGTGTGCGTCAATGTGTGTGTGCGTGTGTGCAAGCGGCTATACGAGGGATCTCTTGCACGTGCGCTTGTTGGCACCAATCTTGAATGCGGCAGCCATCTCAGTCAGTTCACCTATAACACCTGGGTCTGTCCCGTGACCTCCTACCCGTATACACTTCACGTGGCCTCAAAGTGCACCTAGCCTGTCACAAGCGCTGTAGTGACATATACCGCCACTTTGTGGCGACTGTTGGCTGCTTTTGTTGCTGTTGTTTGTGGTTCTCATGCGTGCGTATGTGTGTGTGTGTCTTTTGTTGTTGTATATGTGTTGTGTGTGCCTGCGTGTCAATGTACGTGTGTGCACGCGTGTATGTGCGTGCGTGTGTGCATCTGTGTGTATGTGCATATGGGTGCACACACCTGTATGTGCCTGTCTGTGTGTGTGTGCACTTGTGTGTGTGTGTGCGTTTGTGTGTGTCTATGCGCGCGTGTGTGTATGCGCGTGTGTGCACGTGCGCGTGTATACGTGTGTGTGCACGTCTCTACGTGATGTGGGTGTATGTGAGCGTGTTTGCGTGCACGTGCGTGTGCGTGCGTGTGTGCGCGCGTTTGTGTTGTTTGTCTTTGCGTGTGTGCATCTGCGTGTATGTGCATATGGGTGCACACACCTGTATGTGCCTGTCTGTGTGTGAGTGTGCACTTGTGTGTGTGTGTGCGTTTGTGTGTGTCTATGCGCGGGTGTGTGTATGCGCGTGTGTGCACGTGCGCGTGTGTACGTGTGTGTGCACGTCTCTACGTGATGTGGGTGTATGTGAGCGTGTTTGCGTGCACGTGTGTGTGCGTGTATGTGTGCGCGCGTTTGTGTTGTTTGTCTTTGCGTGTGTGCGCGCGCGCGTGTGTACGTGTGTGTGCACGTCTCTACGTGATGTGGGTGTATGTGAGCGTGTTTGCGTGCACGTGCGTGTGCGTGCGTGTGTGCGCGCGTTTGTGTTGTTTGTCTTTGCGTGTGTGCGTGCGCGCGTGCGTGTGCAGGACTTCCTTGGACAGGCGTTCTGCTCTCTGGGCGAGGTGGTGGGATCAGTTGGTAGCCGCCTTGAGAAGCCCCTCGGGTGAGTTCCGGGCAGGAGGCGGTGCCACCGGTCCCCTCTGCGATTGGGCCAAACGGATGGGCGAGCTCAGAGGGGAAGAGCGGGCGTGGGCACCGAACATTCTGCCAACCAAACATCCGCAGAGACGCGCACACACAGCAAGGGAGTTGAGACGTACTCTTGCAAGCGACAACCACCTGCTCGTCAACAAAGACCTCGACGGTGTCACCTCTCCACCAGTTGGGACGCGAGTCCCGATTCCCCCGTCTGGGATATCGCGCTGCTGCTGCTGCTGCTGTCACCATCCTGGAATCTCGCCCCGAGCTCCGGAAGAATGCTGGCGAGCAGAGTGGAGCGACGCGGATGCCCAGAATGAACACGTCACTCGAAACGCAAAAATTCGCACGCCTCCTGGCTTTGACATTCCTCCTCGAAGTCACCGGTGGCGTAACCATCAACCGCGTAAGAACATCAACGGCAGGCCGATGTCCACATGAATGGCAAATTTAAAACGCAAGCCACAGCGGTGCAATCGTGGCCACGCAACCCAAACTGCGAACGACAAAAGTAGTAAACCACTGAAATCTGCGCGCCATCATATGGAGGAGGAATATCAAACCTGAACGAACGCTCGCTCCTCAAGCCCTCTCGTAGCTAGCAGACCTCGACATTGGCATCTAGCTGCTGAACACATTGCCATACTCGAGCATAGAATCGTACCAAGCATATTGGAAAATGCTTTAAGAAAATCACTGGCTCTGACAGGACTGATAGATATCGATGCTGTCAATTTTTGCCTCAATTTTTGCAGAGAAGGCACGGCGATGCTGAGTGGGACCCAACCCCACGCTCCTAACATTTTGCACTTGGGATGATGCACATTACAATAATGGACTTCACTGCCAAAAATAAAGTGTGGGAGTGTGCGAGTGAGAGAATATATTTTCACGCGTGTGTGTTCGGCTGTGGCTATGTGTGCCTGTGGAACAGTAGTGTAACGGTTAGCCCACTGCATTATGAACCTCGATTCCCGCTCACGGCCAACACCAGTGACGAGTATCTGAACTGGTCCTGGGCCTCCCCTAGGTCGACTCAGTCTCAAATAAGTGCCTGGTGCGATGTGTAAACATTTCCACTGGGGAGACAAAGGCGGTCGGGCATGGTGCTGGCCACCCACCCCCTCGTGTGCCGTGCCGGCCCTCATAGGTGCTCGCTAACAGCACTTGCCCCAACAGTCTGTTAAGGCTATACGGGGGGTCTTTGTCTTTGTCTTCGTGTGTGAGCAGGGGAATACCTGGAAAGAAATGTGGGAGCATAATTCTGACGGCTGAGGAACTGGGAAACTGTCGGGTGAGGCCTCTCATTCCCTCCCCTCCCATCTGACCAACAGCAGTGTTTACGGCCATGTGGGAAACACAGCAGTGGTTTTTGTGAATCGCTGGAGATGCAATACTGATGCCTGCGTGTGGGATTCAACACGTCGAAATGTAATACGGGCATCGTCAACAGCAGAGCAGGGTACATCTAAAAATAATGTTCTTTATTTACCCGGGGAAAGCCTCTCCGAGTCTCGAGCTGTCTCTTACAGTGTGAGTGCTATCTTCGAATGTTTTGGATCGTGCCATTTGTGACAGTTTGGCTTTGTGGTTAAACGCTGAATCGTCACGCGGGTGCGACCACGTGGAGTTTCTCCGTTGCGATGTGTAGCTTCCCCGATGTGCACTCTCTTGGGGGTTCATGAGCACACTGGCACCGGGGGATCTCCGGGCCAATCTCGGAGCACGGCAGTTGAAAACAATGAACACGTTTCTTAAATTCTCCCACCGCTTCTGTTCACCCAGCAGTGTGTAAAGTTTACATTTAAATATTATAAATATTCAACTACATTTATTCTACCGGGTAAGGCCCACTAAGCTATGTAGCTCTTTTTCAGATGCGACCTGGCCACAAATGATAGCTCAACGAAGCGGCTTATTGCGCGGAAATTGATAGCAGACAAATACTCTGAACGCGTGTTGATTATAAATGTGGAGGGTGAAAAAAAATCTCGGCTCAAATAGATGTATTTCAAGCAGTGGGATACCCAGAATATGTACTCAGATCTCAAATAAGACGCCTGGTCAGCGTATAGGCCAAAATACCCTCTTACTTTACTGTCTGGTTCTTTCGGTAAAGTCACGTAGAAAGAAAATACATTAAATTATAGAGTACGACGTTTCAATTGCAACACAAGCAACCGTCATCAGGTAGAACTAAATTTGAGAGAGAGACAAAACACAGACACGGAGACACACAGACAGACACACAAGCAGAGAGAGACAACACAGACACACAGAGAGAGACACACAACATAGACACCGTAGAGCTATGTGTAGTAATTCCTGGAGTCACGAAAGCTTCAAATCAAGTTTGACCCTCTTAATTTCTAGATGGGCTTTCTAGAAAAAAATCTCTCTCTGGTGGAGGTCCTTCTGCCGGCATCGGTGAGAGCGTGCAATTGCAGGACCTGCACTTGTAACAACAAAACCTCTGCTCCCAATCCTTCACCTCCATTTCTCTCCGTACAGAGTCAAACTCATTACCAGCTGGATACTCCCATGCCAGTATTGTACTGGGAGCATTCCTATCTCGTTAATTTTTTTGGGAGGGTGGTGGGGGGGCGTTCTCTAGCCACCTGCAAGGCTGCTCGGGGTTCTCAGCAGCTTCGCTCTGACGTTCATTTGTTTAAGCAAAGACAAATTGATTGCACCGGTGCGCACACAATCACAACGCGCGTGTGCGTGTGCGCGTGCGTGTGCACTCCCACCGACAGCGTAGCAGCTAGCGCACGGCGTTACTGACCCCAGGCAACCCTGAGTGCCCATTCCTGACCACGGCTAACATCGTCAGTGGCGATTATTTAAACCGGTCCTGTACCTCCCCTAGGTCGACTCAGCTAAACAATAGCATTTGTTGCGCTGTATAGACGTTAGCACTGGGGAGACAAATGCGGTCGGGTGTGTGTTACAGGGCATTCCACACCTGCTCGTGAGCCGTGCCGGCCTTTATAGGTGCTCTTCTCCAACAGCACTTGCCCCCATAACCTGTTTAGGCTACACGGTATATCTCTGTCTATATGTCTGTGTCCACCCACGCGCGCAAATGCTCACACACCACTGGCCCTCCGAGATCAGGCCGCAAGCCAGGGCCAATTCAATTTTGGGTTATTTAATTCTTCTCTTGGAGACTCAAATTAAACTTCGCCACAAATGCATTCGTTTCCTGCCGAGGGAAGAGCTGATTTCAAATCAATAGCGTGCGGCTTGATTCGATGCTCCCAGGCAACTTGCAAGTGTGTGGCTGCGGAGTGCACTACATCGCACAGCCACATTCGTGCAATCAGCGCCGGCGTTCGTTCTTGTGTCCGCGCACAGAATCACCAGCGGTGCGGTGGCTAATCGCGCCACGTTAGGAGCCCGACCACGCTGACTGAGTTCCATTGCTGGCCGTGGCTAACGGCATCGGTGGCGGAGTATGTGCTGAAACAGAGACTCAAATTAAACTTTATTTTTAACGCTTCGCAACTTAGGTTGACGCCAGCATTTAGGCATTGGCTCTGTCCCTTTTGGCCGCAACATGGGGTCATGCTCGCAAAGGTGGTCCAATGTAGATGAATATTTTTACTTAAAGTTATGTGACCATCAGCGACTTATTCGAGAGAAAAGTTGCCAAACTGACCTAAAGAGGTTGCCTCAAACTTGCAGTCTCAAACCAGCGCGAAATGCACTACAGTCAAAAACTAGAAAACTATCAACTATTTAAATTTTTATACTTTTTGGTTCTTTCGGTAAAGTCACGTAGGTATAAAATAAAATAAATCACGACGTTTCGATTGCAACGCAAGCAATCATCATCAGGTGGGGAAACCACAGCAAGAACATTTTTTGCTGAAGTGGGAGAGAGAGTTGCCGTGGCAAGAGGTTATATAGGTGAGAAAGGGGGGAGGGGCAAGGAGGGAGAGAGAGGGGGGGGTGTGGGGTAGGGGGAGGGGGAGCGCTGCGTGGACGCTAGGAGAGGGACGTGAGGCTGGGGGGGGGGGGGAATAGGCGGGGCTGGAAGTGGGAGACCGAGAGAGCTGGGGATGCGGGGGGGGGGAAATGGGGGGGAAGTTAACTCGGAAAAATTGATATTTTAATTTTACCAGGTAAGGCCCACTGAGCTATGCAGCTCTTTTTCATAAGTGACCTAGCCACAAATGATAGCTCAACGAAGTGGCTTATTACGTGAAAATGTTTAGCGGCCAAATACTCTAAAGGCGTGTTTCTAAATGTGGAGGGAAAAACCGAGGGACCCAGAGAAAAATCCACGCGACCACGCAGAAAACAGACACCGGTCAGGATCGAACCCATATAACACGGCTCATTACACTGCGGATTTGGATATAACTCTGGGTAAACAACGTAAGAGCATGGATGAAAGATAATTTTTGTTGACCAGCAGATCGGTGCTTCGCTACCAGTGGTAAATAAATCGCCACGGCAGAGTCCCAGCGCGTTATCGGTGGCCGATCCAGCCCCCCCTCCCCACTACTCCGCCCCCCTTCCCTCTCGATGGGTTGCGCAAAACGGCAGCGGACAGCCGTCAGCCCCTCACCCCGGCCCCTCTCAACTCCCTCGTTGGGCAGACAGACACGGAGGGTACACACAGCGACGGTGTCGCACGCAGACCCAGAGACCCATACATCTGACGCGGAGACACGGACGCACGCTCATACACTAGCGGACTGTCGGAGCAAGTGCTGTTAGCGAGCATCTATGAAGGCCGGTACGGCACACGAGGGGGTGGTTGAGTGAGCAACACCACGCCCGACCGCCTTTGTCTCCCCAGTGGCGATGTTTACTGCACACCGCACCAGGTACTTATTTGAGGCTGAGTCGACCTAGGGGAGGCCCAGGACCGGTTCAGATAATCGTCACTGGTGTCGACCGTGAGCGAGAATCGCTCCCGGGTCGCCACCGCTCCCCACACACTCAGGAAAATAGACACGAATCGTAAATGGTGTGTATTTACTCTCCAACACGCCGGTGGTGCTGAAGTGGTAACTAATTGGCATGTTTTGTGTACGTGACAAACCTTGCTAATTGGCTGTGAAGGATTGTAGCGGGTTTAACGACGCATTTATATTCACACAATCTCACCAAAGAATACCTCTATGAAAGGGACACGCATGTTCCCCTCTAACGCGGGTAGCGGTGATTGTTACTCATCTCCCCATGACGCCCTGGTTAGGTTTGGGCTTCGACTGCTTGGTTCAAATGTGCAAACCCGGATTTGTGACTCTGACCGCCACCGGTCGGGCTTGCCTGCCACTCGTGAAGATGTCCCAGCACAACAAATTCACGCTGCAAAGTGTCACAGAAACCATGCAAATGACGACGGCAATGATGATGTTAGTTGTCCTGTGGGTTACAGTCAAGTCTGTGGGTGCCATGTGTTGGATTTGTCTTTGTGTCGTCGACTAAAGCAGTCGAATTGTATCGTCGTCAAACACTCGCAAGTTATTAAATATCGGTCTAAGGGATGTGAATTCCCCCCAGCCCCCTCCCCCACCAGCATGTTCAGGTCAACTAGCCAATCAGTGAAGTCAGTGAGTATTGTTAAATACATCTCGTTAATTACCAATTACCATGTCCAGGCTTCCTCCGTGCCCTGCCGTGTCTAGTAACGCCACTACATTATCCTGGTCTGCCTCTTCACTCAGATTCGGTTAGTTTAGTCTCGTCGTGGTGATGATGATGGCAGTGGAGATTATGATGATGATGGTGATGTAAATGATGGTGATGTAAATGATGGTGATGTAAATGATGGTGGGCAGCAGTTGTTGTCCCTCGATAGTTATCGTCCACTCAATGATCATAGTTCACGCCAAAAAAAACACAGGTGACTGATGTTTTCATTTTCGTGACGCCAAGACTGATCAAATGGAATAGCTGGGGACCCCCCCCCCCCCCCCCGGGTCTAAACACTCGGTGAGGCTTTCCTGAGTACATATCACATTATTACCACTGCTACACTCGGCGTTGAGTCGTTGAATGGCCTTGATATCCATCCCTGTGCGATGGCATTAGACACAATGCGGAGCGCGTGTAAGCAGCCCGCGAATAGCAATATTTATCTCTCTCTCTCTGCTGAAGCCCTCTCGTCGTGACCAGCAGCAGTGCCTCGACTTTAGCATCTGGCTCCTGAACACCTTGCTGCTGCTGCTGCTGTCATTGTGCGCCGGCATTGAATAGCAAAACCGCAATGCCCATGTGCTGGTCGAGAGTTACAGAAGGGAATTGTGTATAATAGGCATAGTAGTAGGTTTTTACCCTTTTAAACTAGTACAAAACTGACACCTACTACTATATTTGCCACTGGTAAAAGAGATCTCATAGTATAATAGAAATGTTAAATAGATTAGACACGTTCCTCAGTAACACTCTTGTGTGTGTCCTTGAAAGGAAAAGAGCACAATAGGCGACGTTTCGGCCAGTGGCCTGAAGAAACGGGGTGGATGATAAAGCGTTGGAGACTGCACTTAACACTGTGGGGCCCGATGCAAATCGCATTTTTAAATATTTTACCGATTCACATTTTTTTTCATTGGCATATGAAGAGTTACACTCACAGTAGTTATTGAGTGTGCACGAGCCCCTTCAATAATAAAACACCTATTACTAAAGAGACCCATCGTTTTTTTTATAAAAGGTTAAATTATAAATGTTGCTCGCACAATGCATTATGGATATAACTTTTGTAGTGAGGGAATTATAAACTCTTATTGTCAGCAGCTCTTTCTCCCGTGTCAGCGGTTGTCCTGCTGCATCGGTGCCACCTGATGAAGGTCGCTTGTGTTGCGATCGAAACGTCGTGTTTTTATTTTATTCTATTTCTACCTACGTGACTTTACCGAAAGAACCAAAACGAGGGAATTATACTCAGGTCTCTCCGGTATGATTTCGGTTCGTGCCGCTGGTTGTCCGGCATGATGTCCGACGTTTCGCTCCACGTGCCTGCAGCAGCAGCATCATCAGCCTCGTCACTTCAGGAACTGAGCAAGCTTCAGGCAAAGTTTAGCGACACGTCGGGGCGTCGTGCCGGACGACACACGGCAGCGACCCGAAACACCGATGCACCCAGTCGTAGATCGTGTTCGGGTTCTCGACGGAGGCGGCGATTGTGGTTGTTGACCTACGGCTGGGTGAGCTCACCTGCCCCCTCTCCCACCCACTGCCCACCCAGGACATTGCCACCATGCAGTTCTGTGGAAACAAGCTGGACAAGAAGGATTTCTTCGGCAAGTCGGACCCCTTCCTCGTGTTTTACCGCAGCAATGAGGACGGCTCGTGAGTGCTCACCACAGCAACAACAACAACAACAGCCGCCATTCGCCACTAAGCGGCGGTGACGTCACCGCAACGTTTGTGCCAGGCTGGGTGCACTTTGAGACCACGTGAAGTGTGGAAGGCTCACCGGGGGCAGACCCAAATCGAATGCGTTTACTGCCTGAGATGACTCGCTGATGTGATACACCACCTGTGCTCCCCAATGTGGCAAGTTGCCACAGTGGGAAGTGCACAAAGCTCCCCCGTATAGCCTTAACAGACTGTAGAGGCAAGTGCTGTTAGCGAGCACCTATGAAGGCCGGAACAATACACGAGGGGGTGGGTGGCCAGCACCATGCCCGACCGCCTTTGTCTCCCCAGTGGCGATGTTTACAACACCGTACCAGGTACTCATTTGAGGCTGAGTCGACCTAGGGGAGGCCCGAAAACCAGTTCAGATAATCGTCACTGGTGTTGGCCGTGAGCAGCAATCGAACCCGGGTTGCCGGGTTCATAGCGCAGCGCGCTAACCGCTACACCACCGCTCCCCACCTACATGCACACAAAGACCAAGATCCCCCTATATAGAACATACAGGTTTTTGGGGCAAGTGCTGTTAGTGCGGACCTATAAAGGCCAAGACGGCACGCGAGGGGGTGGTGTGGCCAGCACCATGCCTAGCCGCCAGTGCTAATGTTTACACAACATACATTTAAGATTCAGTCGACCTAGGGGAGGTCCAAAATTGGTTCAAATAATTGCCACTGACATTGGCCTTGAGCGGGAATCGAACATGGGTTGTTGGATCCATAGAACAGTTCAGTAACCACAATGCCACCACAAATACAAAGATCCCCTGTATAGCGTTAACAGACTGTCGGGGAAAGTGCTGTTAGTGAACACCTATAAAGGCCTGCATGGCACACGAGGGGGTAGGTGGCCACCACCACGCCCGGCCGCCTTTATCTCCCAAGTGGTGAAGTTTACACACTGCAACATTTGAGGCTGAGCAGACCTAGGGAAGGCCCAAGACCGGTTCAGATAATCGTCACTGGTATTGGCCGTGAACGGGAATGGAACTCGGGTTGCCAGGTTCGTAGGAGAGCCCGCTAAGCGCAACCACACTCCCCGTCATGCTTTCACACGTACGCACACATTCACACACACACTTCCCTCCACGCACTCTCTGCCCCAGCAACCGAGGCTCTCAGTCGAACCCGCCAGTCCACCTTCACTCAGCGGGAGGTCATTCATTCTCCTCTGTTGCACCGTATGTTTGAAAATCCCTCCCCCCAGCCTTCACCTATTCAGGCTCAGGACCTTCCCTTTTTTCTCTCTGCCTTTGACTGTTTGCCCCTCTCTATAAAATAAACATGCGCACTATTTCTGTACAGCGTCTTTAGGTGCGGTCACATTCAGAAGCTATATAAATGCAAATTGTATTTTATTGTATTCACGCCATGTGTGCATTCCTATCCGGCATCTAAACTTTGTCGTGAGTTAGGGATGACATTCAATTCAGGGACACATTCTTAGATTCCTTGTGTTTACCATCTTCGTTTGTATTGTTTCCATACCTGTCAGCTCCTTATCAATTCCTACCTTATTGCAGACCAATTCAGATATTATTGGTCACCCCGTGCTTTTTTGAATCTCAACTTTCATCCTATAAAGTCCCATCGCAAGGGAGAAACACACAAAAAAAATTTCATATTGCCCGTATTGAAACGGCTGTATGCCGTATGAACTGAAAAACACAATTTCCCTGTACAAGACTATGGGTAAACCTGTACAAGACTATGGGTAAACCGTATGGGTTGACTGGAATGTGTTTCACACATTTTATTTGTCCCGTTCGTTGTTGATCTGCCTGCCCCATTATCCAAAATGTAACACGATCATATAATTAGCACGAATACATTTTTTTTTCAATTGATTCTCGTGCAAAACTCGCGTGCCCAAGAATCGATTTTGAACGAGGAATCGCCACCGTGTCGTCACACCGTGCGTGCGGTCCCACGCTGCTCCCCCAGGTTCACGATCTCGCACAAGACAGAGGTGGTGAAGAACACCCTGAACCCCGCGTGGCAACCCTTCAGCATCCCCGTGCGCACCCTCTGCAACGGGGACTTTGACAGGTGAGGAGCACGCAGCGCGCCCTGCGTCGTCGCCTGGGGAGTGGAAACACGTGTGCCGTGTTCCACGACCAATTTCAAGCAGGTCCGAAGCCGTGCCCGGCCTGTTCTCGTTACCGCCTGGCACGGTTCGTTTTGTCGTCTCAACGCTTCAGGGGTTGCGCAGCTCCGTGAGCTCAGCCCCTACCCTACCCTTCTGCCCTGTTCCATTTGTCTTTGTATTATTAATCTTGATTTGAAGTTTTTATGACTGCAGGAATCCACACTCTTTGGTTCTTTCGGTAAAGTCACGTAAGTATAAAATAAAATGTTATTTTAATACATTTTTATTTTATTTTATACCTACGTGACTTTGCCGAAAGAACCAAAGAGTATAACATGCAGCGTGACATGCAGTGTGACATGCAGTGTGACATGCAGCATAACATGCAGCGTGATCGAGATCACTGAGGGGGGGCACAGTGGTAAGATGTTAACTACCTCGCTTGATATGCAGGAGGTCATAGGTTCGATCCCGACCTTGACGCCTGTATATTTGGAGTTGGAGTGTTTCTCTCCCTGTGGTCGCGTGGATTTTTCTCCAGGTCCGCCGGTTTGTCCCTCAACATTTAGAATTAACATGTGTTTAGACTATTTGGCTGATATGCATTTCCACATGATAAGCCACTTCGTTGAGCTACCATTTGTGGCCAGATCGCTTCTAAAAAGAGCTATGTATCTCAGTGGGCCTTACTTGGTAAAATAAATATAGTTTCGTTTATAGTTTAGAGAATGGACACACTCTAGGTGATTTGGTCTTAGGTGTAAACTTTATTAATCCACTGCTGGATGAAGGTATCCCTCAAGCCACCATTATCTACCGTGCTCCTGCGATGTACTCACCTAGCACGTGCAAACCAGCTGATTTCATCGCTCCATCTCCTCAGTGGTGCGTCCTCACGAGCTCACTCCATTCTTACCGCCGCCACTCCGTCATTATTTTTCAACGGTCGGCCATCATCTCTCCTGAGCGACGTGTCCTGGCACAAACACGTCACGACACGGTGTGAACTTCCCACCCTGAAGGCGTCACCAGGAATCCTGGTGGACTCGTGAATGGGAGTACACGAGGCATCCCCACGGGCGTGGCGCTCATAACGGCTCTCCATGTCCTCAAACTCACAAACGCCGCGTTGGCTGCTCGCACTCATGGCCTGCTCGGACTTGTCACCGCGTTACCCTATAAATATTTATTTATACGTATTCTATTTTTTTGTTGTACCAGGTAAGCCCCCAGCTGAGCTACGTAGCTCTTTTTCAGAAGCGACCTGGCCACAAATGATAGCCCAACGAAGTAGCTTATCATGTTGACATGTATAGCAGCCAAATACTCTAAACACATGTTGATTATAAATGTGGAGGGAAAAACCTGAGGATCCGGAGAAAAATGCATCGACCACGGGGAGAGAGACATGCAAACTCCAAATATACAGCAGCAGGCGTCAGGCTCTGGTATCGAACCCAGGACCTCCTACATACCAGGCGAGATAGTTAACCTCTCGCCAACCACAGCGGGTTGGTCTGCCTCGCATTGGCACCGAGCCAGGAACGCCGCCTTCTCTTGGCTAGTGGGGCATCCTGTTAGTACGAGTGTTGCCGCGATGTTATTATTATTCACGGTTCGATACGAAATGGAATTGGTAAAGGTGCAGCCCTGCAATGGCTTGCTTACACCACTGCTGCTCAAAGGGCCTCCAGTCGAGAGGGGCTCTACAAAGCCCCTCTTGAGAGTGTTTTGTCCAATTCCTCCACGCTGCCTGTGTATCGCACCAGACGTAGAAGCCCAAACGATGCTTGTGTTAAATTCTGTGACCACATGATTCTGTTTTCCAAGCTCTGATTCCATTCACGTGGAATTCACTAAATATAAATACGTAGAAGTGCAGCCCTGCAATTGCGTGCCCATACCACTGCTGGCGGAAGGGCCTCCACCACAGCGAGCTCTACAGAGCCAATTTCTCCGTGGTATTTTTGGCCCACTCTTCCAGACTTACCAGAAAAAAAACCGATTTCATCACGGGCGCAGCTGCCGGGACTGGAGCCGGGGACCAAAGTGGTGTCAACTTGGCTCCCGCGACCTCTGAGCCACCCAGCCGCCTCTGATTATGGGGCGTCTATAAATGGATCAACGTGCATATCCTAGTATTTGCCCCGAGCACGGCAACCCCAAACTTTGTACCCGTGAACTCTCCGCCACCGCCGCGACCTTGGCTTCGCCGAAATTAAAGATCGTCCCTGAAATAGACGCGGGTGGCGTCAGCGTATTCGGTGTCCTCCCGGTGACGCGCGCCCTGCGTGTGTGGACGAGCAGCGTCTGCGCCTATCGACTCCCGCGTGGTCTTAGGTGTTGGCGTGTGTCCCCGCGATGTCTCCCGGCTCGCCGACCTTGTCGCGTCATACCTCCCTGCACCCTCCCACCCCCCCGCCCCCACCTCCCGTGCCTCCGCAGGACCATCAAGGTGGACGTGTACGACTGGGATCGAGACGGCAGGTGGGCCACTTTGTTGAACGGGCTCGGAGGGCGCCGTGTGTAGCCGGCAGCGTGGCAGTGTTGGCGCGGTGGCGGCGGTGGCGGTAGAGGGTAAAACTGTGCAGCTCTGCGGTGTCTCGCTCGTGCCACATGCTGGTGGGAAGGCCTCCACTAGTGGAAGCTCTGGAGAGCCTCTCTAGAGCAGCGATGGCCACCCGGCATTCTCCCGAGCCACATGAGGCTCTTTAATCCACCACATGCAGCTCTATCCAAGGGGGACAACGTAGAACATATCATCACAGTAACAAAGATTAATGAATGTTTCCCGTGCTGTGCCGAATACTAACTCATGGGTACATTTTGGCTCTCGGTCTGTTAGAGGTTGGCCACTTCTGCTCTCGGGGGTGTAGGTGGTGGCGATAATCTTACTTTATGAAGCATGTGTGGAGGGCATTGCAACTACACTTTTTTTCATAAGAGACTTGTGTCATGAAACTAATATAGTGTACATGTCATCAAAGGTCAAAAGTCACAGGGTACAGGGTTGAGACATTTGGAAATACAAGAGGAGGGCAAATTTCAGCCTAACGTTTTAAATATAACTTGAAATGTCAGTAATTGACATTTCAATATATTTTTCCATTACCATGTTCATCATCATCATAATACATAATAAATCAATCATCATTATCACATATCCATCATCCTATCCATAATCATCATTATCACCACGAACCAATCACATTCTCACGACGTTTCGGCCACAATGCAAGCAGCCGTCCTCAGGTGAATAACAAGGGCTGTCGGAAAGACAGCGTCCTAATGAACACTGCTAAGCTTGGCAGCGTATTTTTAAGCTGGGTCGGAGGAGGAAAGAGCCTTGACAAAGGAGTTTACATATCAACAGAGGAATTTAGCATATTGATGACAAATGCAGCTTCAAAATACGCTGCCAAGCTTAGCAGTGTTCATTAGGATGCTGTCTTCCCGACAGACCTGTTCTTCACATGATGACGGCTGCTTGCGTTGTGGCCGAGACGTCGTGAGAATTTTATCTTATTATGTTTTATTTTTATTATTTTATTATTTCCCTTCTACGTGACTTTACCGAAAGAACCAATAATATGAATCCATGCAGTCACGAAAGCTTTAAATCGAAAAAGGGTAAACCATATTTATTGAGTAGATTTCAAATTGTCGGGTGCTCGATTTTCCATTGGCTGGACTTCACAGGAGGATCTGGCTCGCGAGTAGACCCCGAATGGAGGGGACACAAAGTAATCAAATAATCGGATTTGCCACGGGGAATTCAAAGGGCAAGAGCCCGGGGAAAATTGAGATGCAAATGAAAGGATGCGTCTGGTGGGGCACGGGGGGCACGGAACGAATTTGCTTGGTGAGAAGGACGGGTCCGTGGGAGGAGGAGAAGTGGAGAAGGCGGCCGGGGAGAAGGTGGATCAATAGCAGACCGAGCGGGGGAAGTCGGGGGCGACTGTTGTCAGCGCCGTAGTGCCTCACGTGCGCTCACCGCTACACAGGGTGGCCGCAAAGTGCCTTTGTATTGGGGGGGGGGGAGATAACGGCCCGTACAGTTCCGCGATTCCAGGAGGTCGGCAAACCTGCGGCTGCGGAGCCGCATGCCGCCTCTTTAAGGACTGTGCTTCGTGACGTCATTTATGAAGGGCATTGTGGCTCTTGAAATATTTAGGGGTTTTTTCCCTTTCCGAATTCGACAAAGAAAATGGCTCTTCGTGATGTTTTGGTGGCCAAACCCCTCGCTCTGTTCGAGCTGCCCTCCATCCTCGGGCACGCAGCTGGATTCGTGCCCGAGGTCTCCTTCGCATATTCTTTCAAGTGGATGATGGCTGTTGTTTCGAGTTTCCTCAATAATGCATTTGTCAATCTTTGAGTGTGAAGTGTGTTCTCCTCGGGGTATTATCGCCGTCGTTGTGACATCTGGACTTGGGGGCAGTCAGATCAGATCCTCTCCCAATCAATCCATTGTCCACCTGAATTCCTGATTCGAATAATTCCCAAATTCGGAGGGCATAATGCGCCGGAGAACATTAATCTTTCATGCAAAGGGACTGTGACCACCCTATACGTGTTAACGGAAAAATATCTACCCCATCCCCTCCCCCCCCCCCTTGCGGTCTTTATGTTAAGCACGCAGCTCGAGGTGTACAGACAGAGTCTGCACATGAACATATGGATGACCAGAGGCAACACAAGTTTTAATTGCCAGATTAAAACCGTCAATGTGTGGCTAATGAAGCTCAGACACCGCCAGGCAACCAGTGCTGTTTGACAACACAATCTTGCGAATCGATTTAGTTTCGTGGGTTACAACTTATTTTCTGTTTCGAGATTTACATTACTTCTCACGTTTTAATCATCGTACGTCTTATCGCGTAACTTCCGCGGTTAAATTACGTTATGTTCTTCAGAATTTTTCTTTTAGTTGTTTACACCGGAATTTACATATAACCGAGGTTAGGAATTCGAGACTTTAATTTTCCGGCTGAAGACTCCCCCACCCCGTGTTTAAAATGGGTTCTGTGTCTCGTTCTCCGTCTCGTCTTATGAGTCTCTCTCCCCGATTCTCACTTCATTCCTTTCTCCTTCTCACGCGTGGCGATCTCGCGTCCATCTTTCAAGCGGCACATTATAAATCAAAATTATGATTTCCTCTTTTTGCTGATTTTGATTAAACGGTGTGTGCTTCATAACCATCACCTTTAAAGCTTAGCTGTTATGATTAATGACTTTTAAAAATTATAATTCCGAACGATGTTTAGAAGCTCTGTGAACTGAAACAAATATACCCCGAATCGCTTTTAACAGACTTTTGGGGCATGTGGTGTTAGCGAGCACCTATGAAGGCCAGCACGGCACACGATGGAATGGGTGGCCAGCACCACGCCCGGCCGCCTTTGTATCCCCAGTGGCACCAGGTACTCATTTGAGGCTGAGTTGACCCAGGGGAGGCCCAGGGCCGGTTCAGATAATTGTCGCTGGTGTTGGCCATGAGCGGGAATCGAACTCGGGTGCTGGGTTTGTAGCGCCGTGCGTTAAACGCTGCACGGCTATAAAATGACTGAACGCCACCGAGCCCTGCGCTTGATGTCTCCTTCTCCTCGCCCTGGCCCCGCCAACCCCCAACAGCCACGACTTCATCGGAGAGTTCACGACCAGCTACAGGGAGCTGGCGCGCTGGACAGAACCAGTTCAACATTTACGAGGTGAGGTGACAACACGGAGAGAGGGAGGGGATTCCGGAGGACGATAGCGGGGGAGAGGGAGACGGGGAGTCGAAGCAGAGAGGGAGGGGAAAGGGGGCGAATGGGGGAGGTTAGGGTACCGCAGAAGCAGGTAGCACCCTTCGGCACAACATGGCCACGATCAGGGACGCTGGCGAACAAAGTGGAGCGGCGCGGACGTCGCGAATAAACGCCTCGATCGAGACGAACGTCATCATCGCACCTCCTGGCTTTCACATTCCTCCTCGAAGCCATCGGTGTATAACCATCAACAGCATCAGAGCATCACCAGACCAATGTGCAACATCTCCTGTAGTCTACGTGGCCACAATCACAATAGTGCAGTTTTTGGCCACGCAACCCAAACTATGGACCATGTAGTAAACCGCTGTAGTCTACGCTGCTTCAATTGAGAAATAGCAAAACTACGTGAAGCCTTTTCGTGGCTCGCAGACCTCGACATCGAAATTTAGCTCCTGAGGATATTGACAAACACAGGAAGAGAATGGAATGCACTCCTGGTAGAAGGCCTCCGCCCCTAGCCATTTTCATCCCTCACGATCTCACGATCCATCTCAGCGCCCGCACTTGGAGCTGATTCAATCGCTGCTCCTTCCAGCGGGCGGACCGTCCTATCTCTCGGGCTAATAGCGCGCTGAGCTGTCAGAGGGCGATTATTGCGAGCGATGGACCCTGGAGTTCCGAGCGGCCCCATTAGGGGCCGGCGTGGGTAGGAGCCAGATTAAAAGAGGTGGACCGTGATGAAGATGAAACTCGCTTATCCGTGTCTGCTCAATTAGGCCGTGTGTGTGTGTGTCAGCGTGAGGCGGGTGACACGGCATTGGTGGGTACCATCAATCCACCGATGATTCACTTGTGATTTATAAATGAGTTCCAAATTTAGTTTGAGCTGTCCCTATGCCTGTGTGTGTGTGTATATCGTGGGGAGCAGTAGTGTAACCCTTACCTGCGCCACGAACCCAGCGACCTGAGTTTGATTGTCACTCACGACCACTAACACAGGTGAGTGACATTTGTCTTAAATTGTCCTGGGCCTCCCTGAGGTCGACTCAGCCTCAACTAAGTACCTGGTGCGATGTGTAAACATCGCCACTGGGGAGACAAATGCGGCCAGGCGTGGTGCTTCCAAACCCACCCCCTTGTGTGCCATGCCAGCCTCCATAGGTGCTACTCGCTAACAGCACTTGCCCCAGCAGTCTGTTCAGGCTATTCGGGGGATGTGTGTCTTTGTTTTATATATATATGTTACTAGCCTTTTCCCGCCCAAGGACGGGTGTATTGCAGTAAATCTGAAACTTGCAAGCAAGAAGCAGACCACGACATGATATATTCATTGCATCCATTCGTGTGCAATTTGTAAGGGCGCGGTGACACAGACCTATTTCATTTTCAGGTTATAATCCCTTGTTCATCAGGACGTCCTTTTTACTTCGATGTCTCAATAGCGTTACGGAGATCGCGTGACGTGAGGGTTCTGCCTGTGTAGTGAGGGTTGTGAGTTGACGCCGAGGAGGGGGGAGGAGGCGCTTCGCCCCCCCCCCCCATGTGGAGTGACGTCACCCGCTAATTATTATTAATGGAGAGAGGGGGTGTCCATTTGGAGGACGTCACCTGTTCACAATTATTAATGAGGGGGGCTGTTCGATGTGGTGTGACGTCACCTGCTCATGATAATTAATGAGGGGGGCTGGTCGGTGTGGTGTGAGGTCGCCTGCTCATGATTATTAATGAGGGGGGCTGGTCGACGTGGAGTGACGTCACGCGCGTTACACACAGACATTCTTGGCTAAATATAGTAGTCAATTGTAGTGGTTAGCGCACTGCGCTGCAACCCCCTGGGATTCCCCTAGGTTGACTCAGCGTTAAATGAGTACCCAGTTAAGTGTGTAAACATCATGCCAAGGAAGACAAAGGCAGCCGGGTGTGATGCTGGCCACCCGTCCCCTCGTGTGCCGTGCCTGCCTTCATAGGTGCTCGCTAACAGCACTTGCCTCAAAAGTATGATGCAACTATAGGGGGGCCCTTTGTATGTGTGCACAAGATGACCACTGTGTGTGTGTGTGAACGTGTGTGAGCCTTCGACACTTCACGTGGCCTCGAAGTGCACCTGGCCTGGCACAGGCGCCGTGGTGACATCATCGCCACTTTGTGACGAATGAAGGCAGCTGTGGAGCGGTGTGTGTGTGTTGGCGAGTGGTGGCACAGTGGTTCACGCTATGTCCCTAATTCGGTTCCCAGCCACAGCTAACATCAGTGAGGAGATGATATCAGAAGAGATGTTTTAGCCTTCCCCACGACGACTCGGCCTCAAACGAGTACCTGGTGAGGCGTGCGAACATCTGGAGAGGCAGAGGTGGCCGGGGCACGGTTGTGGCAATGCCGTTCGCTTGCGTGTCAATCCGGCTTGAATTGGTGTTTACTAGCAGCATTGGCTGCAATTGTCCGTTGAAGGCGACATGCGGGATATTTGTCCTTGCCGAGTGCGTGTGTGGGTGTGTGGAGTGGTGCGTGGTGTATGGGGAGCAGGGATGCAGCACTTCACACCGTGAACCCGGTGACCTTTATTCAATTTCTGGCCTCGGCTAACATCGTTGACGAGCGATATGTGAACCAGTCCTGGGCTTCCTTTAGGTCGGCTCAGCCTCAAACATCCGCACTGGGGACAGGAAGCTGGCGTGGTTGCTCACCGCACCGCTTTCTCGCCGTGCATTTTGATTTATAAACATGCGTTAAGATTATTTTGATTGTTTTCCTGCGATAAATTTCCACACTTTAAGCCGCTTTGTTGAGCTCATTTGTGGCCAGATCGCGTCTGAAAAAGAATACCTCGGTGGGCTTTAGCTGGTAATAATAAAAAAAATTCGTATTTATTTTTCTGATCTGGTGCCCCTACTGAACATCTACGAAAAAGAGCTTCATAGCTCATCGGATTCCTCCAGTCTAAATAAATGTTCTGATTCAGAGAATGCGTTCTCGCTAACTGCACTCGCCCGAGAAATCTATAAGGCTATGGGGGTGGGGACCATCATTTGATCGCTGCGTGTGTGTTTCTTCTGCACGTGGGTCTTTGTGCCTTTTGATTCAACGATTTTACACAACGCTATCCCACCAGGTCGCAAGCCCTGTCCAGCTTTTCCAGTCTCTTTTGGAACAAGAGACGGCCAATGCAGCGCAGTCTCCAGGCTCAACCCCCGCTTAGCTTCCGAGATCTGGCGATAATTGGTGTGCATTCTGGATTATTATTATTATTCACTCACGTGCTGCTTTTGTATCGACCTCTACAAACGTGAGCGAGTTGCTATTTGTCTTGTCAATGGTTTCCATTGGCTCTCGTGTGTGGGCGTGGGTGTGTGTGTACCGGTGCCCGCTGACAGCACCAAACGTCTGTGAAGGCTAAACGGGGGATCTTTGTCTTCTGTGTGTTTCAGGTGATCAACCCAAAGAAAAAAGCCAAGAAGAAAAAATATGTCAACTCTGGCACAGTATGTAAAACCCACACTGGCACTCGCGCTCACTCAGACACACACAGACTCACGCAGACACACACACACTGCCAGACACGAGAACACACTAAAACATGTATACATACAATCGAAATGAACACGATATTCTAACTAAGGACACATAAAAGACACACAGAGCCCCTCCCTTCTTCCCCACCCCCAGGCGCTGATATTTACACACTACATTGGTTACTCGAGGCCCTATGTGTATCGTGTTTCAACCGCTCGTGCCGGAGTTGACAACCCTCCAGGTGCAGAGGATCACGTGCACACAGCCACATATGTCCCTTGCGTTGGGTGACCTTGCATCAGGAGCCGGAGCTGAGGTCAGGGTTAAAACCGAAATTAGTTTTCTCCCCTAACAATTGTTCCGCTCCAACCAATTTGTACCCCCGGGTTAAGGAGTGAAGGTTATAGGTTCGGGTTTATCGTTACGGGTCGGGTGAGGATTAGGCCCCGGGTGATACATTTGTTCCGTCAAAGTTTGGAACTGTACTGAAAGCGAACGGAGCAGCTGTTTCGCCAGTAACGGTGGGACGTGGTGTTAGAATTAGGGTTTTAGTTTAATTTGCACGGGTGTAGATTTTCAGACAACGACATGCGCTTTTGTCAAAACGGACTCAGGGGTTACAAAATATTTGTCAAGCGATATTGCCTAATATTGGTTCCTCGGAGGAGCGAACCATTCCGTAATCTTCTAATTATAAGATGCGCACTTTGTCCCCCTTTTATTATTAAAGAAAATATTGTGGATGTCTTACAATCCCGTAGGTGTGCGTGTGACCAGATTGGTGTATTGCTATTGAGACCGGACACACATTTGGGGCGCGTCTTACTTTCCAGAGCACCTTACAATCCGGGAGAATACGGTATCATTTATTCCTGGCGGAGGCAATGAACATTCGAGTGGAAACACAAATCCTCTGACGCCGGGTTCACATCCCCGTCGCAGGAAAATTACCGAGACTCCAGGTGTTCACTTTCGGTGGCTGAACCAAACCCAGACGAGCGAGCTAATTCGAGGCAAAATTTTGGCCTCTTTTTAATTGCATGGAATTAACTGCACGGCAGTCACAACACGCCCCGCCGGTGGAGCACACACGCAGCGAAAAACACTCGCACCGCTCACCCGCACGCTCACTCGCGGTGGTGATCGCCGTCAGCGGCCTCCGGTTTGGCAGGTGGCTGGCGAGGCGACGGCTCGCAGGGCCCCCCCCCCCCTCTCGCCAGGCTTGCTACGCTAATTACGAGGATAATTACGTTTCGGAGAGAAGCACAACAAAGCCACAAGAGCGCAAGCTCCAAAACACACAAACAAGCGTGGGTGTGGGCCGAACACACAGCAGCGCGTGCGCGTGCTGCGTAGACTGGGCCTTGAACGAGTAGCCTCCTCGCGGCTACTGCGGAGGGAGACCAAGGCAGCCGCGTAAGCGTGGTCGCTGGTCAGCCCCCCCCCCCCATCGTTGTGCCGTGCCGCCCTTAATAGGTGCTCGCTAAGAGCACTTTGCCCCAACAGTCTGCTATAGGCGATACGAGTGATCGTTGTGCGTGCTGCAGCCAGCACCTCAATTTGGTTTACAAAATGAAACACGCAATGTAATTGGGTGAGAGTAGGTTTTCCCCTTTTTTCTAAAATATGTATACATACACACCGTTTGAGACTTGGCTCGAAAGAAAGCTGTCTCTGGTGTGGACCAATCAGTTTCAAAGTGAATGCATATATGATCAGAGTATGTTTTTTGTTTGCATTCTGACCACAAGTATTGTGGTTAATGCAGACATGATTCCTTGTAAAAGGTTTCAGTTTGGTGTTTTAACATCTTAACACCTGTTTTGTTGCCAGAAAAAAAGGGAAAACCTCTTCTCATATTTTGGTCCTGGCAAAGGGGGTCCCATGACGTAATGTAATTGGGTATTGGCCTAAATATCCCAATGCTGGAAAATTACTCCATTTGGATTAAACACACACACCCACATTAGCAACATCACCCCCTACGGCGATTAACTTAAGCTATATCCTCCTGAATAAGAATCTTGAGACTGAGTGAGGCTCTCCTGTGCAAGTAAAGGAACTTAATAATGATAATGATCACAAATTCAATCGCGGGTGTTTAATTGTTCGGGGCTGTGCCGGTGAAGCTCTCCGGTGTGTGTCGGGACGTGCCGATTGGCGTTTCACTCCACCTGCTGGGGCGCCACGGGGGCTAGAAGATCATCATGGGACCTCCTTAGTTGCTCACCCCGAGCCCTCATTACTCTGGTAGTGCGTTGTCTTGAACTATGCGCCTTTTGGCGTCATCTGGTCGAACACCATATGAGACGAGGCTCCAAAGAAAGCTTTCTCTGGTGTGGACCAATCAGTTTCAAAGACAATGCATACATTATCAGAGTTTTGTTTTTTGTTTGCATTTGACTGCAAGTATTGTGGTTAATGTAAGCATGATTCCTTGCAAAAGGTATCAGTTTTGTTGCCATAAATAAGGGGAAACCCCCTATTAATGGCTAGAAGATGTTAACAGCCTCGCCTGATACGCAGGAGATCGTGGGTTCGATCCCGACCCTGACGCCTGTATATTTGGAGTTTTGCATGTTTTCCCCATGGACACCTGGATTTTTCTCTGGGTCCTTCGGGTTTACCCTCCACATTTCGAAACAACAACAACAACACCTGTTTATAGAATTTGGCTGCTTAAAACTTCAACATGATGAGCCACTTCGTTGGGCTATCATTTGTGGCCAGGAGCTGTATCGTTCAGGGGGGCTTACCTGGCGAAATAAAAAATAGTTTGTTTTTTAATAGTAGCTTCTGCAGGAACTGAATATTTCCATTCAGTTTTCGGCAAAACGTGCAAAGCACATCGGGGAGAGAGCTGTGCAGCGAGGAATGCTGCCCGGATGAGGCTAGAATTTCTGGAGCTCATTGTAGGGATATGACCACAAACGCACAATGCACAAGCGCTCATTCCTTGCTAAATCAGCCACTCGATTGGCGAACGACAGCACACACAGATGATCGTAAACCTTAGATAAAAAATAAATGTAATGATGAATTTTATAACAGCGTAATAGGCATCTCACGATCGCTGAGGAATAACCACAGACCAAGCTGGAAGGCTGCCAGATGGTGAGCAGGTGCCAACGGTTGTTCCGCAGTTCCCTATATATCAAGATGTTTTCAGCCAATTACTGAGTGTTTATGTTGCTTGTGGGAGGAAACTGGAGCACCCGGGAAAAAAACCCACACGTGCGAGGGGGCAACCCTCTATCCCAAACAGAAGGGACAGACGATATCAATCCACACTTTTGCCGTACTGCATTCTGCTGGCGAGCCAGGATATTGCCACTCCTCGATTCCCATGGGGTAATGCAGCCTCGTAATATGTTGTCATTGGCGCGGTGGCCCACCAACTCTCACCGCCTCCATGGCGAAGGGTTACAGGTCCTCGTGCGTAGCCACCACCGCCCGATGTGTGTTTGCGTGCAACTCCCACGTCGATATTCTCTGTACTGTCAAGGAACACCTCTCTGAGTCTCAAGACCGTGTGTTTCGGAGGGTGCTACTGCATTGGGGTGGTTGGCAGATTCCGTGAACGTGAGTTTTGCTTCGCGTGGAAGCAGCCCGGAGAAACCCCGCCAAGTGCACGAGAGAGCATCACTTAAAGACCCGCACAGATAGATGCAAAATTATAATCACAAGCCTTGCTGTCTCCTGGCCGTGCCATCGTCCGAGCCTACAGTACCCAGAATTCCCAGAGAGCGAGCGGGTCCAAGCACCAATCAGCGGCCGACCCTGCCTGGCTGCCGAGATGTGACGAGGTTGGGTGCGTTCAGAGTGATCCAATTTGGTGGTAGGTTTGTGTGATGCAGATATTACCATTTCCCCGCGGATTAGGAACTCGTGCACAGAGGTGGTGATTCACAATGTGCGGATTAATTTAGTCGTTATTATTGTCCGAGTTTACAACAAAGCCAGCTTTGTTAATGCGACTGCAGCATTTGCTGTTGTTAGACGCAGCCACCTAACCACATATAATTATTATAATTTATTGGACGATGTGTGTACCATTTATACCAAGCGACAGTTCAATGAGACCATGAGTCTGTTTTTTTAGGAGAGAGTTTGGAATCTAAAACAATGCATATAATCGTCATCAGCCATCATCTATCTACTGCTGGATGAAGGCCTCCTCCCCAAGCCATTTCCATCCCTCACAGTCACGCGAGATGCATCAAAGCGTCGAGTTCCCGCGCACAAGCCGATCGCCGTCGCCCGCCGGTCGTCAACATCAGAATATTTATGCTGGATGAATCCGATGAGCTGTGATGCTCTGTTCACGGACATGCACATGTAAATAAAACGTCTAATCATCTTAAAAAACGATCAACGATGAATTTAAAGTTTAAACAATAAACTACCCCTTGACAATACGCACACAACTCGTTTGTCAATGCACTTCAGGATCAGGACCCCCTTCTCGCCGTGCGGGTAATACGGTTCTTTAACTCTAATTCACCGCACCGTTTGGTGAAGGCGGAGGGTAGAGCACAGTTGGGAGCACAGAAGCACAGTACAACATTATATATTTTTTTCTGCACTGCGCTCTCGCTCGTTGGCAATAATTCATTTTTTTTATATTTAACTTCGCTTCGTAGTTCAGCTGTGGCGGTGGCTCCGCTTCAAAAGCAATTGCGTCCGTAACGAGCGAGTAAAACGAATTTCCAAAATCTAAGCGTGGATCGGGAGGCAGGGACGACGCGAGAGCCAGCGCTCGGCGTGACAGCCCGCGGAGGAATGGGAAGTTGGGGAGGACGGGCGGGTGGGCGCGCGTGCGGGATCCCGTGAATATGGTTAGCGAGCACGCGGGGTCGGGCTTAATTGGCGGCACAATCTAAATTTAGCCGGTACCACGGGAGGGCAAATCATCCCTCTCTTGACGATTTCTCCATCGGATGCTTTTGGATCAAACCGCACCAGCCGTCTCTCATGCCGCCTCACGATGGGGCCCATTCTTTTCCAAAAATAGAAAAAAAACACTCTTTCTCTACGCAGCAGACTGCCGCGCCACGCTCAAGCGCCTGGTCTTGTCACGTCTCAAAAGCTAAGCAGGCGTGAGCCTCGTTAGGAACTGGATGGGAGACGGTGCGGATAACAGCACAGTAAATGGATTCTCGAATCTTACACGCGTTTAGAGTATTTGACTGCTATAAATGCCCACGTGATCAGCCACTTCATTGGGCTATCGTTTGTGACCAGGTCGCTTCTGAGTAGTGAGTCTTACCTGGTAAAATACAAACACTTGTTTAGTTTATCTGTACAGCTGTTGAGTGCATTGTGCATTTTCTCTTGTGACTCTCGTTTCTTCCCACGTTACGCCAAACAATGAATGGAATTGGTCAAACGTGCCAACGCTGAAGCACCCTCCTGTTAAAGTCTTGGGACTCCACAGACAAATGGAATATGTTTATATCCTTCAACCTCGTGGCATTCCAGACCATTATTAACAATATAACGCAGAATAATTTGTTTCAGCAAGCAACGCTGCCCGATAATATTAGTCTGCGTGTGGGGATCAAGGCCTCTGGTCAGCTCCCCCCAATATTCAAATATGCTCAAAATGCCCCCCCCCCCCAATATATTGCTATAAAATATTTAAAAAAATAATCATTGCTATGCTATGTAAATAAAAACAACAATTTGCTAAACCTTGGCCACAATATCTGGACTTGTCTTCATATAAATCAATGCATAGATTTCTGTTTATATGATTGTGGTCATGATTGTACTTTATTAATCCCTAATCCCAAACATTACATACAATAAAACAAGAAATGGTAAAAAAGCAAAAACAGAGCAATGTAATACAACACACTATTAGACATAATTGTAAAAAAATAAAGAAAAAGTCCATCCCATGTGTTAGTTAATCTTTTAATATTTTAGGCAGGAAATGGCAGCAAATTCGTTTTCAAATTTAGATTTTTTTTCTGGATTGGGACCCCCTGGAAGATTTGGTTCCCCCCAATGTTGACTCCATAGCTACGGCTTTGGTGGGGATACACGATAAGAGGTCTGCGCACATATATATTAATACTATCCATAACGCTCCACAACGAGCTTGCATCCTGGATACACACGCTCACTACTTGTACAATTAACCAAGCAGATAGACTCTCTGCCCCTGCTTTTGCCAGTGTGGCGCTGCGATTAGTGATGTCCCCGACCCTCTCGCACCTGCTACAGGTGACCCTGCTGTCCTTCAAAGTGGAATCCGACTACACCTTCCTGGACTACATCAAAGGAGGGTGGGTCAACACGCACATGCAGACCGACACACACACGTAGGCACACTGGAAAGCACGCGCGCGTATACCAATGCGAAACGTTGAGGTGTACACACGCACGGACACACACACACTGACAGGCAAGCACACACATACAGGTTAGCGCATACATATCTGCACCTCCGATTGGCTACGTACGGTGCGAAAGAAGTTCAACATACACACAATGGCAGGCAAACACGTGCACACATACACACAGAGACAAATATCTGCTGTGTAGCCTTAGCCAGACTGGGCAAGTGCTGTTCGTGAGCACCTATCAAGGCTGGCACAGCTCACGAGGGGATGGGTCGCCAGCATCGCGCCCGGCTACCCCTTTGTCTCCTCAGTGACGATGTTCACACATCATCCCAGGTACTCATTTGTATGTATGTTGAGCTTCTTTTGCACCGTACATAGCCAACTGTGCTAATCAGAGGCTGAGTTGACCTAGGGGAGGCCCAGAACCGATTCAGATAATCGTCACCGGTGTTGGCCTTGAGCGAAAATCGAACTCGGGTCGTCGGTTTCGTAGCGTCGCGCGCTCACCGTTGCACTACACCGCGTGCCACACACACACATACACCCCCAACGACAAGCATACCCTCACATGCATGCAAACACTTCCATAGTCTCACGCCGGCAAGCAGGCATGCTCATGCATGGACACCCACCTGCGCGCATACACACCCACCAAGAAAAAGATTCCCCGTATAGCCTTAACAGACTTGCGGGGCAAGTGCTGTTAGCGGCACATGGAGGGGGTGGGTGGCCAGGACCATGCATCCGCACACACCTGGGCGCACACAACTTGAGCTCACCCACACACCCACGCACGCACACCCACGCACCCACGCACGCACGCCCACGCACGCACGCACGAGCACACTTGCAACCACTCACATACGCTCACAAGAGCACCCTCTCGTGCGACAGGCCCCCACCTTCCATCACATGCCTGTAAGATCCCCCTCGCTCGAATACGCCCATCGCCATGGCAACAGAGCCCTGCATAAATAATGCATTGAAAAAAAAACACCCACAGCAGCCAACCGGAGGTGGGAAATGAACGCAAAAAATAAATGGCATATTCATTCAGACCAAAGCCCGGTTGCCTGCATGTGTCCAGGTGGCCACCACAACACAGAAGTTAATTTTGCAAGGCAGGAGGGACTTACTAAGGATGCCCACCTCGTTGCAGCAGGTAACGGCAAAATGTCAGCGCGACTTTTGGATGTATAAATAATTATCAAATGCACGCGTTTGTGGCTCCTCGCTGCATGGCTTTTGTTCGATTCAGGGAAACCACTGACGAACGGGAAGGCACCCGGAGCTGCTGCTACCAACAATCGCCCGAGCCCTGTGGCCGTACATTGGGATGTTTAGCCAACTCCAGTAAATTAGTGTTCATCAGTGAGTGTTGCCCCCCTCCTGCGTGAACCACGGGGCACTTGAATGGATTTCAGAGGTAGTTCTGTGGTGTCCGCCTCCGCAGGCCGCACGGCTCAGCGAGAGATCCGAACGGCTTCTTCATCCCGTGCGACGCGGCATCGTAAACGCGCATCTAAATAAAAGTAGGGATTACAAATATATTCAAAGACGAAATATTAACCAGCGGACGCTGCCCAAGGGGAGAGAAACGTTTCTTTCCTCGCATCCAAAACCAAAAGCCAGCGCGTGGGTCACAGCCGGGGAGGTCAAGTGGCGAACCCTGGCAGGCAGCGTAAACTTGTTAGCGCGCTGACATTTAAACCTCTCACACCAGCGATGAGAACGAGGCAGCAGCGTGAGACATGCCCCCGCGCCACGCAGCCTGTCCCCCGGCCACCTGCTGCGTCCACAAACAAAAGCGTCCTCACACCCGAAATTAGCGCCCTCTCCCCTACAGCTGGGACTGTCGGTGGATTCCGTCAATCAGTCGACTCTCGTGTTGTAATCGGCCGCTCTTTCTGCGCCTGATCACTCGGGCCCCCTTTAAAAATTGCTGCGCCACCATCCTGCCTGCCGAAGGCAGGAAACCCCCTACAAGCTGTGACCAGCACGGTGCGGCCGATGATGCTGAAGATGTCACCGTGACCCACCCTTCAATTCCCATCCAGCGGCACAAGTGACAGCATAGGTCAGAGTTGGCGGGGTATTTTTGTCCTCCAACAATTTCCGAATTCTCTCTCCGATCGGTCGAGCAATCGAACCGATAATCGGCGGAGCAGTCGATATCTCAAATAATCTGTGGAGCGATCAATTGCCTCGATCGTTGTGTTGCAGCCCGGCCGTACTCTCCACGGTCGCAGCGCTGAAACGGCGACTCCTGTCTGCCGGCCGGCACGACCGCTTTGTTAGGCAGAGGTGGCCGCAACAAAGCGGAGAGCAGCGATCGGTCTCCTTGACGACGTCCCGATGAAGTGCGTCACGCGTCGGACTTGCCCCGACCCCCGGCAGCAGCCCGGACCAAACGCCACGGCCGCACGGGAGCGGTTTCTCCTCCCTCGCTCGTACGGATACCAATCGCGTGCCCCCCCAACGCGAGCGAGCATTTGACGCGTCGGAGCTCATCCCCCGTTTACGGCCCCTGAGCCAGCGGTGAAGATTTTCGCGTTTCTGTGGCAGCGGCGGCGGCGAGTCCATCCTCAGGACAACAACCGTTCACTTCCACCGCAAAGTGGTAGCTATTTTATCGACCCTCAGAGGGACGATGGGCTGAGTCGACCCACCAACCAGGATTTGAAGTCGCGACCTTCCGATTGCTGTGAGCCTCTCGCGCCGCCGCTGAGCCACCAGGTCGGATTGCTTGCGACGAGCAGCAGCTAGAAATCGATGTGGCATGGTTTGATTGGAGCCTGAGAAGGGCGACTTCGATTCCTGATACTCGGCATGACGGGCGCAAAACTTCGAAGCGACTGCGTCCGTAGTAGTGGAGGTGAGGGCAAGGTGGGCCGCCAGGAGGCTGCCACCGTTCCTAGCCGACACGCGGTCGCGAATCAGCAGCCCCCTAATCTTGTAGGTGGGGGGGGGGCTGGATCGGACTGAGCTCCCCCCCCCCCCCCCCCCCCACTAAATTCTTACCATCATCAAAAGCAAGCCTGGTCAGTCCACTGCTGGATGAGGGCCTCCCCAAGCCAACATTCAAGTGAAAAAGCGTTCGCACAAACAATTCGTCCAATTCAGCGATGGGCGTTGAAGCCCGCGCGGCTCATCGGCTCACCGTGCGCACGGGGGGAGAGAGAGAAAGCAGACGTGGCCACACCGCGACCTGTTGCTCGTTCCCTTTCGCATTTAACGTAAAGTCCAACGCAAATCAGGGTAGAGTGCTCGTGATATTGACCGATCTCGAGTTTCCTTGGCGGCTCAAGGAGACTCAAGGATGCCACGTGGTGCCCAGGCGGGGAATGACTTCGAACAACGGGTCATCAGGTGGCTGAGCGAGAGAGTGAGCAATTGGAAGGTTGCGAGCCCGAATACTCGTTTTGGGGAGGTTGAACTCGGAACATCATCCCCCTGGGGTCGATTAAGACCAGCACCACTTTGTGGGCGGTAGTCCTGCGGGAAGACTCGCCGCCGCCATAGGAATGTGGAATTTCCACCACCGTCTTCAATGCTGCAGATGAACGACGAGTGATGCGTCAATCGTCACGAGCAGGAAATCGCTCGGAGGGGGTCTGTGCGAGGGAGCGACCGGTCCACTGTCACTCAAAATAAAAACTCAAAAACAAAACCACCTCTGGAATTGACTCCGCATCTCCCAAAGGCGGACGTCAAACCCTGGGATATGAAAACTTTTCATGTCGCACCGTAAGTCGTCGCCATTCTTCCGTGGGACGTCAACGTTGTCGCGCGCGCTCACGTTCGGCACGGGGCTGTGCAGCGACCGGCGTCGTTGCGCGTTTCCGAGCGCGCAGACCGAGCTTGACTGCCGGCGTCAATCACAAACTGAGCAAATCCGCGACGCGGCGGCGGCGGCGTCATTAAGTCCGCCAGTGAATTGCAGCGCGGAGCGCGTCGAGTGAATTGGGGCTCGTGCACGCGCCGGCTCGCGCACGCGCCGGCTCGCGCGCCCTCGCTCGTGCCAGAGAGTGTACGCGGGGACGGAGGGATCAATTAAATACAATTTCTGTTAAGAGGCAAATGACGGCGGATAAATAAATAAGGCGAGTGGCCGCTACCCCCCCTCACCCCCCGTTCAATAGCGTGGCGCTGCGGGGGCGGGCAGGCGGGCGGGCGCAGTTCGCGTAATTGGTTGTAGCAGCAAAAAAAAAATCCGAAATGGCAAAGCGCTCTTACAGTGTAATTACTACTGGAGAAGGGGGAGGGTGAGAGAGGAGAGGTCCTCCGCTTTGTCTGACACACAGACAAAGATCCCCGATATAGCCTCGGCGGCCTGTTGGGGAAAGTGCTGTTTGCGAGCAGCAACTATGGGAGGCCGGCACCACGCCCGACCGCCTTTGTCTCTCCAGTGGCGACGTTTGCACATCACACCAGGTACCCATTTGAGGCTGAGTCGAGCTAGGGGGCCCAGAACCGGTTCGTATAATCGTCATCGATGTTGGTGGCTGTGAGCAGGAATCGAACTCGATTCGCTGGGTTCGTACGCGCGGCGCGCAACCCGGTGAGGCAGGCACGCGGGCACGCGCTCGTACACACACACGCACGCATACGCACACATACACACGCACACACACACACACGCACGCACACACACGCGCACACACACACACACGCACACACACATGCGCACACACGCACACACACGCGCGCACACACGCACACATGCGCACGCACGCACACACACGCACACACACGCGCACACACACACACGCACACATGCGCGCGCACACACGCACACATGCGCACGCACGCACACACACGCACACACACGCGCACACACACACACGCACACATGCGCACACACGCACACACATACGCGTACACACGCACACACACACGCGCGCACACGCGCACACGCACACACATACGCACACACACAAGCGCACACACGCACACACACGCGCACACACACGCACACACACGTGCACACACACGCACACACACACGCGCGCACACACACACGCACGCACACACACACGCGTACACACGCACACACACACGTACACACACACGCGCACACACACACACGCGCACACACACATGCACACACACGCACGCACATACACGCATACACACACACACGCGCACACACACACGCACACACACGCACGCACATACACGCATGTACACACACACACACGCGCACACACACACACGCGCGCACACACACACACACGCACACACACGCACACACGCGCACACACATACACAAACGCACGCACACACACAGGCACACACGCACACACGCGCACACACACATACACGCACACACAGGCACACATACACGCACACACACGCACGCACACGCGCATCGCATGATGGGGAGCGCACCACAACTCACGGCCTCGGCGAGCACCGGCGGGGAGGGAGGCATTCAAACACGAGGGACGGCACGACGCATCACCCGGCGAAATCGCGCGGCGAGCGCGCCGACGCACACCCCAGTGCACACATTGACACTCGGCACATTCACCAAACCTGACGTGCCTCTTCCGCCCACGAAAACAAAGATTCCCCCACCCCCCCTCCCCCCGTATCGCCTGTAACAGACTGTTGGGGCAAGTGCTGTTAGCGAGTAGCGCCTATGAAGGCCGGCACGGCACACGAGTGGGGGGGTGGGTGTCCAACATCACGCCCGGCCGCCTTTGTCTCCCTCGTGGAGATGTTTCACACACCGCGCCAGGTACTTGTTTTGAGGCTGAGTCGACCTAGGGGAGAGCCCAATACCGGTTCAGATCATTGTCGCTGATGTTAGCCGTGCACGGGAATCAAACTCGGGTTAGTGGCGCAGCGCGCTCTCCGCTACAGGACCGCTCCTGGCACGCACACGCACGCCGACCTCTGGATTGTAAGTTCAGCACGGTAACCATCGCACCCGGGCAAATCCAGTGAGTTCCGGAGACACTTGTAGAGGCCACGTATTTATTACGCACACCACACTAACTGCTGTACACTAATTACTCGTACAGCCTATCTCACGTATCTCTTCCACGCCGCCTACGTAGCGTGCCTACCCCGGCTACGCTCCAGGTCCTCCGGCTATGATACCCTACGGGAGGCTGTCTGACCTGACCCAGCCAAGGTACAGGTCCAACCACGATAGGGAAGCTGCCAGGGGTGCAGCGGTGTTATTTTGCTGAACTGTGTCCACCCAGCAGCAGATATGGGTCACAGCACAGTGAAGTCTGTGATCGGCAGGTCGGCGTGTGGTGGGCTCGAGTGTGACTACTTCCACCTCTTCCAACACGTCTGGTCAGTGTGGAAGAGTAGGCCAAAGACCCTCGAGAGAAAGGCTCTCTATAAAGCTCCCTCTCTAGTGGAGGCCCTTCCGCTGGCAGTGGCATGAGCGAGCAATTGCAGGGCTGCACATTTACATTTTTTAACGTGATTCATCATCATCGGCCATGACGAATCCACTGCTAGATGAAGACCCAAACCCGATGTCATTGCTCCCATATCTCCTCGGCGGACGACAACGTCGAGATCCTCTTGAGCGGAAGCCAACGCTGCTCTTTTTGAAAGCAAGCCGGAACGCATCACTCACCAGCTATCGTGCTGTGACTGTTCCCACCTGAAGACGGAAGCTTGTCTTGCCTCCGAAAAGGTCGTGATTTTTTTATTTGACTTTTATTAATTTTAATTTTTTTACCTACGTGACTTTACCGAAAAAAAAACCTAAGAATATTCATCACTCGCCCTCGCCCATGGAACGCGCGCGCCCGGGTGGCAGGGGAGGGGGCTGGGATCCGCCGATGTGTGCGCATTGCGCTCTTGACGACGGCTATGAAATATGCCCCCCCCCCCCCCCCACTGAATCCTCGTGGTGTTTTTTTTCTTGTTTTGTCTCTGCTCGCAGGACCCAAATTAACTTCACTGTGGCGATTGATTTCACCGCCTCCAATGGTAATTACTCCTGCGCACCGACGGTACTCGCCGTTCTCCGCTCGTCCCCGCTCATCCCCACCGTTCCCCACCGTTCCCCCATCGTTCCCCGCCCGTCCACGCTCATCCCCACCGTTCCCCACCCGTCCCCATCGTTCCCCCACCATTCCCCGACCATTTCCATCGTTCCCCGCCGTTTCCCGCCCGTCCTCCGGCTAATTTACGCGGCGCGTACATTTCCTCTCAATGCGCCGATTACGCGTACGCCCGTGCGCTACTCCACCGCTTCTATTAAAAGTTGAAATGGTTGTGATGAAAAAAAATTATGGTTGAAACGAGCGTCGTTCCGTTGCTGCGCCTGTGCACTTTGGAGAGTTGTTTTTTTTACGTGAAAATTCAGAATATATAATTTCGCTGGGCGTGGGGAGTTGTGCCGTGAAGTGGAGGTGCTTACCCCGCAAGTGTAAATTATAGTCACGATGGAGGCAAATGGTGCAGGAGCGGAGCGGTGGTGCGGCGGTTAGCGCACCCTGCTATGAACCGAGTTCGATTCCCGCTCGCAGCCAACACCCGCGATAAATGTTAACCGGTTCTGGGCTGTCTCCCCTATGTCGACTCAGCCTTAAATGAGTACCTGATGCTGTGTGTAAACAGCAGCCTGCATAACCAGGGGTGGGGATTGTGTGAAGTTGTGGCTGTATCTGGCCCGCTACTTAATTTCACACGGCCAGTGGCCACATGAGGCCTGCTACTTCTCAATGGCCTGAATACTTTATCCATCGCTGCCAAACATCTTACCCTGCTCTAATTGGCTACTGGAGAGGGAAAACCATTTTCGGCCTGGCAACAGCACAAATGTGTATCTCCGTGCCCAGTCACTTCTGTCACTGCGAGGGCTTCTCGCGGTGACAGAAGGTGGTGTTTTCGAGTTGTTCCAAGCGTTCGATGCCCGACGTTCCGCTGTGCGTGCTGGGGGCTCCTTAAAGTCCTCTTCGGCCCTCAGCCAGGAAAAATGTGTGCTTTGTGAGGTGATCTGTGTGTGGGCTGCGGGGTTATGTTCGTGTGCGTGCAGGCAGCCCGTCCCAGCCCACGTCCCTGCACTACCTATCCCCGTACCAGCTCAACGCCTACGCCCTCGCGCTCAAGGCCGTCGGGGAGATCGTGCAGGACTACGACTCCGACAAGATGTTTCCCGCGCTCGGATTCGGGGCCAAGCTGCCGCCAGATGGACACGTGTCCCACGAGTTTGCGTTGGTGCGGACCTTGACACGGAATTAGGGTCGACTGTTTATGCTCACGACAACGCACGGCGAATCACGTTCGTGAAACGTACGGCGCAAGCGAAGTTCAACATACGTACTTACATATCAGTGGGGCACGCCTGCGATCCAGCGCTGGGGAGACGAGGGGATGGTGGATCACCGCACAGAGACGTTGCAAAACTCCCTTCCCCGTGGGTGCTAAGGAGGTGCAATACTCTGGCATGCCAAGAGAAGGCGGCAGAGCAAGCGGACCAATCGCCACCTGTTTTCATCTGTATGGGAACAGAGTGTTGCCCCCTCATGTTTGTGAGTTTTCTCCGGGTACTCCGTTTTCCTCCCACGTGTGTAATAAGCACAGCTCATCATTAATTGGCCGAGAACATCTTGAAATAAATCCCAATGTGGCGGCAGGACCCTCCTGAAAGAGAGTCATAGGACTCAGCGTGGCTGTCCTGGATAAACAAATGAGTTATTATTATCACCATTAATTTTAGAGAGTTAAAGGTGTATTTATATGTGACTACATAAGCACCGCATGAGAGTGGAAAGCGCTCATGGTAGCCAAGTGCTATAGATGGGGTTCAGCAAAGATGGTCATGTTTGGTGGGACACTTGTGCGGGATAGGGGAGAGCCGATTGCCGGGACAGACATTGGAGTGGTCTACACGAGACCGCCGATGAGGGGGAAGAGAAAACATCAGGCCAAATGGTGGCAGAGACTGTCAGGGCAGATCTTAGAGGTCGCTACGTGTCTCCTGTGCAGCAGCTGCGGGATCTGGCAGAGGGGGTAGAACGTCTTGGAAGTGAAGAGGAGGAGGAGGGGGTGGGATGTGGTAGGGGTAGCATCAATTGCTTTCGCTAAAAAAAAAAATTAATCTTGACTTCAAATGGATGTTGGCCTGGTGGTCAAGTCCAGCGAAGGGCTGGCAGCCAAAAAGCAGGGAAAGAACCTCAGAGGTAACGTCCGCCGCGGAGGTGGAGTGACGAAACCGGCTCGTGCGATGTGTGTGTGAACGTCTCTCCCCGTCCGCGTGTGCGTCGCGTACAGAACGGAAATCCGCAAAACCCGTACTGCAGCGGGATCGAGGGGGTGCTGGAGGCCTACTACCAGAGTCTGCGCTCCGTGCAGCTTTACGGCCCCACCAACTTCGCGCCCGTCATCACGCACGTCGCCAGGTCCGTGCCAGGGCTTACGATTGCTGTTATCATTCCGCCCGTTCACCCAGGAGAGCCTCGCTGAGCCGCAACGGTGTTTTATTCAGGAGGGTCCTGTGATGTTTTCACAGTAGGGGGCAATGTTGCTGCTGTGTAATCCCAATTCAGTAATTTTGCAGGTTATATTTCAGCACTGGGATTTTGGGCCAATGCCAGTTACATTGTAAAGAGGAAGGTCACGAGTTTGTACTTGAACAGGTGCAGAAGGTTTATGGGTCTCTGTGCGTGTCTATTAGTTTGCCTGTGCGTGTGTGAGTGTATGGGTCGATTCACCTCCACGTACTCTCTGCTCCAGCAACCGAGGCATTCTGTTGAATCCCTCAGTCAGCCGTCGCTCGGTAGGACGTCACTCATCCTCCTCTACTGCCCTCAATTTCCGGAACTCCCCCCAATCCATCCGTGGCATTGACTCTCTCTACGCCTGCTGAAGTCTAAACCTGGGCCTTCCTTTTTCCTCCGCCTATTGCCCCATTCTCTATCAAAATAAAGCATGCCCACCGGTTCGGGACAGCTTCTTGAGATGCGGTTCTTGGCTGCCCTGGTGACACATTGTTCTTTATCCCCATGGTGAGCCCCTTCGTGACCCCCCCCCCCTTGTCATGTCCAGCTCCCTCTGATCTCGGTACCCGTGCCATGCACGCGTGCCACGTGCGTGCCGCCCTGCAGGTATGCCGCGTCGGTGTCGGACGGCTCCCAGTACTTTGTGCTGCTCATCATCACGGATGGCGTCATCTCGGACATGGCGCAGACCAAGGAGGCCATCGTGCACGTGAGTGAACGTGCCGCAAACACCGACGCACGTGCGGCCAGGTGGGGCGGCGAGCGCCCGGCCCTAAATTTGCCCCCCGCACCTAAACGATGCCGCGCGGGCGCCACGATCGCTGAATCCGTCCGTCGCTGTGTGCCGCCCTCGTTTTTCCGCGCTCGCAGGCGGCGAGTCTGCCCATGTCCATCATCATCGTCGGGGTGGGACCGGCAGAGTTCGACGGTGAGAGCGCCGACTTTTCCATGAAATGCCCGCCTGAGCAGACAACATGACCCCAGAACACCAGGAAGCTCTTGAGATGAGATGAGAGCCGAAGCTCCTCCACCTTGTTGGCCGTCGCGCCAAGGTGGCCGTCGCCGCCTCGCGAATGGCTTGAGTCACCAGCTTGAGTCGGTTCCAACGACTCGGCTCCACAGGCAGGACCCACCCCCCCCCCCGCCTCCCCCGTTGTGACATCGCTGGCTTTTATCTTGCAGCTAAGCCTAGGCTGAGTGTCCTGGGCTGTCTTGCGCGAGTTTGATTGACGCTTCATGAAGGAGATAATTTTTTTAAGTTACATCTTTTTACTTGTTATTAAAGCAAAGCTTTTGTCGAGGTGGCCGGTGGCTCAGGAGTCGAGAGTGCTGAGTTGGCACTGCCGAGATTCTGACATCGAAGCTGTGGTCTCGAGTGAAGCCAGTTGATGTTTACAGCCCGGTCACCAATGACTACACTAACAAACCCATCGCATTTAATTAGAATTTTAACTTCATTTGGCTAAATACCAGCTCAGCTCTGAGAATTGCGAGTATAGGGCAGGCTTCCACTTGATGTGGGAAAGAATGCGGATAAAACAACAAAATCACGTGACATCAGTGGCGGGTAATAACAGAACAGGTCCTGGGCCTCCCTTGAGTCAACCATGTACTTAAATGAGTACATGGTTGCGGTGCGTAAACATTTGCTCTGGGGAGATGAAGATGGCCGAACGCGGTTCAGGCCACACCAGCTCCCTGGGCACCGTTCTATCATTAATAGGCGCTCGCTAATTAGCACTACCCATGCAACGTGCCAGTCGCTTTGGACCGGACGCCACTGAAAAGAGTGCATCTTAGCTCAATGGGCCTTACCTGAATTTGACTGACTGACTTGCCCCAACAATCTATGCAAGCTATGAGGGTGGGGGGGGGGGTGATGGAGAGATCTAAATCTTTGTGTGCGTCTGGCAGCCATGGAGGAGCTGGATGGAGACCAGGTACGTGTGTCGTCACGGGGCCAGGAGGCTGAGAGGGACATTGTCCAGGTAACGCTCACTCCCTCCCGCTCCCTCCCGCTCCCCCTCGTTCCCTCTCGCTCGCTCCCTCTCGCTCCCTCCCGCTCCCTCCCGCTCCCCCTCGTTCCCTCCCGCTCCCTCCCGCTCCCCCTCGTTCCCTCTCGCTCCCTCTCGCTCCCTCTCGTTCCCTCTCGCTCCCTCTCGCTCCCCCTCGCCCCCCCTCGCTCCCCCTCGCTACCTCCCGCTCCCCCTCGCTCCCCCTCGCTCCCCCTCGCTCCCCCTCGCTCCCCCTCGCTCCCCCTCGCCCCCCCTCGCTCCCCCTCGCTCCTCCTCGCTCCCTCTCGCTCCCCCTCGCACCCCCTCGCTCCCCCTCGCTCCTCCTCGCTCCCTCTCGCTCCCCCTCGCCCCCCCTCGCTCCTCCTCGCTCCCTCTCGCTCCCCCTCGCTCCCCCTCGCTCCCTCCCGCTCCCTCCCGCTCCCCCTCGCTCCCCCTCGCTCCCCCTCGCTCCCTCCCGCTCCCCCTCGCTCCCCCTCGCTCCCTCTCGCTCCCTCTCGCTCCCCCTCGCTCCCCCTCGCTCTCTCTTGCACTACAAGGCTCAGATCATGGCAGAGGTCCGAGCGGATTTGCCATGCCCGGGGTGGAGCTTCCAGTTCCTATCTCGCTTTGCTGGATAGGGGCCGTCCATAAATGACGTCACTCACCTGGGGGGGGGGGTCAGACATTTGTGACGATGTGTGACGAGGGGGGGGGGTGAGAAATGTGACGTCACATCAAAATGCGCAACTTTAAATAAACATGGACAACACGTTCTACTTAATTAAATAGACTTTTTAATAAATGTTTTCTCCTACAACATCAGAGTGCAGCGCCACATTAAATACGCACTACAATGACACTTGTTTAAAGCGATGTGAAGCGTGTTTTTTTGTGGGGGGGTGGAGCTTTGTGACGTCATTTTTGAGGGGGGGGTCTGACTTTTTGTGACGCCGTGTGACGAAGGGGGGGGGAGTCAAAAATGGTCCAAAATTGCGTGGTGTCATTTATGGATGGCCCCATATGATCCATACACAATAAGAATCAGAATCTGTGTTTCGACTGGGTGAATCCGATGAGCTATGAAGCTTATTTTCACATGTGTCCAGTAGGGGCGCCATGGTGACGAGATGTCATCTCCCTCGCCTGGTATGGAGGAGGTCGTGAGTTAAATTCCGACCCTGATGATGCCGGTATATTAGGAGTTTGCATGTTCTTCCCGTGGTCGCTTGGATTGTTCTCCAAATCCTCCAGTTTTTCCCTTCACATGTAGAAACACGCGTTGAGATTAAATAAATTTCCACCTAATAAGCCACCTCGCTGAGCTAAAATTTGTGGCCAAGTTGCTTCCGAAAAAGATCTATGTAGCTCAGTGGGCCTTACATGGTAAATAAAATAGTTTACTTGTAGGTGCGGGTCAGCAAGTTACAACAACAACCATTACAAACAACAATTGCAGTGCAAAATAGAGAAACAGTTACGCGTACTCACATCCCCTTTGTGAATCAACTGCTGGATGAGTACCGTTCCACGCCGTGCGGGTCATGGGAGTTGTTTGACCAAACTTCACCACGCTGAGCAGTGTGGGTTTGATGAAGGTGGACGCATAGAGAGTATGGCACAACATTGGATTCGTCTGCACTGTAAAGCGATGTCCCGCTCAAATGGTGCTCCTATCACATTTCTAGACCTGAACCATCAGTGGAAATTACACATTCCTGTAGCGGGGGCGAGATGATCCATAGTAAAACCTCTATTCACTTCCCCACAAAGTGGTACTGATTCTATCGACCGAGCAGTGAGCAATGATGGGCTTGACAACTCCGACTGGGACTTGGACCACACTACCCTCCCTCACTTCCTAACCCCCTCCTTCCCCCTCCCCCCTGTCCCTCCTCCCATCCCTCCCATCCCTGCGTCCCCCTCCCACCCCCCTCCCTCAGTTTGTTCCATTCCGGGACTACGTGGACCGCGGAGGCAGCCAGGTGCTGAGCATGGAGCGCCTGGCGCGGGACGTCCTGGCCGAGGTGCCGGAGCAGTTCCTCTCCTTCATGAGGTCCCGCCGGGTCCCACCGCGCCCCGCGCCCCCCCCTTACACGGCAGCGGGGGGCCAGGGGGGGCCGGGGGGCCCCGGCGGTCAGGTCGATGGCTCGTTGGGGGCAAACGCATAGCCGGCGTGGCACCGCACGCCCGGGGGCATCGCTGGTCGTTATAACCGTCACCGTCTCTTATTCATCAGCCGTGTTGTATCCGCTGCCGGGTGAAGGCCTCCCCCCGCCAGCCCCTGTCACCCCCATCCACCCAAACCCCGCTGGTGCCTTCTCACACGGTCCAGCGATGCCACGATCCATCTCGCTCGCTCGCGCGCACGAGCCGCCCTCATCGCTTCATCTCAACGGCGACGGTCCCCGCGGCTCGCGCAGCTCTCGTACGACGGAGTAATATATTTCAGGATCAGAATATTTATTTACACTGGAGGAATCCGATGAGCTATGAAGCTCGTTTTCACGGATGATCTGTTTCCTGTGCAGAGCGATTCCACGACATGTGTTGTGATGTCGGTCACAGAAGAAGCAATCATCGCGATCGTAATGTTGTGGAATTCTAAATAACGGTTGTAGACATGTATTTTCAGTGATCGTAAAAAAAAAACGTCAAGTATGTTGACGATATAACAATCGGTGGACTGGCTTGTGCTATAACGGAGCACGCTCACAGAACACCCTGGAGGAATCACCCCTCCGCCAGCAAATCAGCCTTCCACACCGACGATTCACAGCTGCGTTCTGTTTAACCGGGGCAGCTTCGTCGAGGAGTCGAGACCTGCTCAGAAAATAACACCGCCATTAAAGCACTGGCCTTGGAAGGCTTCTAAGCAATGGCGTCGCGTCGTTGGTTGCCATGGGCCCTGGCGCAAGGCATGGAACGGGGTCCCCTGTTCACTCCCCCACCCCGACTATTTGTCGCCCGGTGCCTGGGCCGTTTCGCGCTGTGGGCCTCAGTGCAGTTGCACTGCCTGCGGACTTGAAGGCTACGCTCATGTGCGGAGTTTGGTGGGCAGGGGGGCACGGGGGGGGCAGCACCCCCCCCCCCCAAACCGAACACCTTTATTAATTTATTTTCAGTAGTTTGTAATAAAGTTTCAAAATAAATGAATTATATCCGCCCCAAACTCCGCTGACACTGCCCGTAGGCCAAAGCGCTTGGAAGTTTGTTTTTATACGAAAAGAAAGGCGGACTCCCGTCTAGCTGTTTATTTATTTGACACCCATAATAAACTAAACTTTCTAAAAAAACTATTTTTATTTTATTTTACCAGGTAAGGACCACTGAGCTGTGTAGCTCTGTTTTAGAAGCGACCCGGCCACAAGCGATAGCTCAACGAAGGGGCTCATGACGTGGGAATTTATAGCGGCAGCCAAACACTCTAAACGCGTGTTGATTCTAAATGTGGAGGGAAAAACCGGAGGCCCCGGAGAAAAATCCACGCGACCACGGGGAGAGAGAGACACCACAAACTCCAGGGTCGGAATCGAACTCACGACCTCCTGTATACCAGGCGAGGTAGTTAACATCTCGCCACCGTGGCGCCTTGTCTCCATGACAGCAAAGCCTTTGCATCGTGTACGTGGGTCGGGCTGGAATCGTGGCCCCTCCACCCGCACCCTCACCCCGCTGACCCACGTGGGATGAGTCACGCTCCACGGGGCCCGCACGCGCGCGCCTCTCGTGTCCCCACGTGGCGGTCTCGTCGGTGCGGCGAGCCCAGACGCGTTGCCGCGAGCCGCTCCGTCGCTCCCCCCCTCCCCCTCTCCCCCCGGGATTTGTCACGGCGCCCCCCCCCCCCTCCTCCACCCCCCACCGTGCCCTCTGCGGTGCTCGTCGAGACGCACGCAAGCACCGCCGTGGCTCTTCCCCACAATTGGCACTTGTTCGTGAAATCTCGCTTTGCTTTTCATCATCGACACCGGCTGTCCCATACGTCAGCTCATTAGCGAGACAATGTGCTTTTGTCTCCCCATACTCCCCGTTTGCTTCAACGTCTGTATCGTACCGCCGAGTACGTGGTGGGGGAGTAGTCAGCCTCGTAGCTGCACGAGGCTGTCATCTTCGAGCCTTGATTCTCTGTAATCGGGTTGTTATTGCCTCCAACTCTGTTCTCATGTCATCACTTTCCAGTCTGTGCAGTCCCGATACTCCTCCTGGAATCCCGCCCAAGCAATCCATCTCGCACGCTCAGATCGTTTTCTCATCGAGCTCCCTTGTCGTCAGACGGGATTCTGGACCATAGATCAGTACCGGTGCAACCATCGACTTGGAAAGGCCTCGATCCTGGGCACTGTCACTATGTGGGTAGGTGGTCATCGCTCACTTTTAAATTAAAGCAAAAAACTCAAATGTTTTCTTCACACATTGTTAGCGGATTCAGAACAATTGGGAAAGAATGCGTTGCACAAGAGTGGATTTCAACGCACGCTTGTCTTTGCAAGTATATAATGAGCAGTAGGCAAGATGACGGGCGGTTTTCAGGGGAAAATGCGTTTGCATGCTTGCAAATAGTCGTCTTTGCTCTGGTTTGCGTCTCCAAGATCTAGATAATAACGCTTTGACCAACGTGGCCGTTGCAGGGCGAGGCTTAATCTTCCTAGCAGCAACAGGTTCGGTTCGTACTGGATCGACTTCCTAAGCGTTATCATGCCCACCTCCTGTGATGTACAGACGAACGGACGGACGGACAGAGCTAACGCGTGCACGTTTCCAGCCTCGGTCAGAAAGCCTTGGAAAAGTCGTGATCGTAAGAACAGCACTAATCCGGTATATAGGAAATCGAACACGCTGCCTCTATTCAAATAACACATTTCCACGGTCCCTTTTTGATGCCTTTTAATTTCGTCTCTTTCAAAAACCTGCCGACCTGCGGCGCCAAACCCGACCCGTTCCCCCCACCCCCCCACCCCCCGTTGCGCAAATCCCGAGCCGGTGCCAAAGCGGAGCCGCCGCGCGTGGCCGCGTCAGTGCCGGCCCGCGTCGTTCAGCCGTGCCAGAGTCCCTTCGAGGGAGGGCCCCTCAATTTCCGAGGCTTTCCCGTGGCTTGCCAGGTAGAGGTGGAGATATCAGCTGAACTCCCGAGTGACTCCGCGGGGCCACGGGGAGAATGGCTCTTGCGTGCGCGCGCTGTCACGCAATTGAGTGTGAGGAGCGATTTCAAAGTGCACGTCGCGCCGGGCGTTTGGAAGGTTTGCGGCACACGAGAGAGCAAAGCGTCACGGTGCCCTTCTCGCTGAGATTGCGCGCCTCCCTCGCTCTCTGCGTTGTGCACTCTCGCAATGTCCGTGTCTCTCTTGAGCCTGCAATTTTTTTCCCATCAGTCAATCTGTTTCTCTGTCTGTCCCTCTAAGTTCTATATTTTTTTGTCAGTTTTCTCTCTGTGTCTCTCAATGTTTTTTTATGGGTTCCTACAGCTGTACCTTTGTATTTCTCCTTCCTCTTGCGTCTCTTTGTGTTTAACTTCGTTTTTTTCTACATCCCCCCTATGTGTCCACCTCTCTTTGTCTCCGTGACCATATTCATCTGCGTTTGTTTCTTGCAGTCTATTTTTTTCTGTGTCTATATTTGGCCCCACCCTATATCTCTCTCACTATTTCCCTCTGTTTTTATTTCCCTCTCCTCTCCCACTCTCCCAATTGCATTATCTTGACACCCTTCATACATTTCCCGCCCGCCCCGTCACAGCATTGCTCCCTGGGCTGCCACGTTTATCCCCCACCCCCGAGGCCGACCCGGACCTCCCCTCTCCACAAATCCGTCGCAGCGCTCCACCACTTCGTTTCTTTGTGGGACAGCCTTTTCAATGCCCCGTCATCTCCACCACTTGCGGTGCGTTTATTACAAAGCCACGCACGCAGCCCTGGCGGTGACCTCTGCCAAGCTCTGCCAACCTGCTCCCAAACGTCTTGCCTCACCCACGCACGGCACAACCCAGCACCCAGGCCCCACCCCAACACCACGGCACCATTCGATGTCACGTCGAGAGCACGGGTTCAGGTGCAGCGCGCTTGCGCCCAGTTCGATTTCCCGATGCCCAGGTGTGGCCCCGACACTGCCCCGTCCGGCAGGAGAGACGCGCCGCACGAGGATGTGTCTGTGCGTGTATTAGTGGGGAGCGGTCGTGCAGCGGTTAGCGCTATGCTGCGCGACGAACACGGCGACCCGAGTTCGATTCCCGCTCACGGCCAACACCGGTGACTATTATCTGAACCGGTCCTGGGCCTCCCCTAGGTCGACTGAGCCTCAAACGAGTACCTGGTGCCGTGTGTAAACATCGCCACTGGGGAGATAAAAGCGGCCGGGCGTCGTGTTGGACAACCACCCAATCGTGTGCCATGCCGGCCTTCATAGATGCTCACTAACGGCCTGTTAGAGGCTATACGGGGGGGACCCTTGTCTTTGTGTAGTGAGTTCAACTGAGTCGCAGCCGTACACTTGGAGGCAACACATTTATTTAACACCAACACTCGGGGTAACTGCCTCCGTAACAGAATAACAGCCTATGGTGGTGACCACCAGGCTAAGTACACAAATTACTACGTAGCTGCTATGACAGACCGGGACCCACAGCTCGGGTCCAGGTCCACGTGTTGGAGACTCGGAGAACGTATGACGTAGACGAAGGTTTCTTCAGGATGAACAACAACGCCGGCCCCTCTGGGCGACCCGGCTTATATCCTCTGCGGCGTGGCCGGCTCCACCCTTGGCCACGCCCACCTTCTAGAATCCTCGAGCAGGATCTGGACCCCGACCACGTGACCACTCCGAGCCCCTACTCGAGGCCCCTTTGTAGACTTAACCGGTCACGTGTCAACCAGAGGGCCATGGCCTTTAGTAACCCCTTTCCTACGGCCGGCACTCCCACACCCTATCCTGTAGGGGCTGGCACTGCACGCCAAGCGTGGTGCTACCCAGCGCTGTCACTCAGCGCTCACCAGGCCCCTCTAGGGCCGCTACTACACAGTGACATCCCGAGATGTCACTACATTTGTGTTGGGGGCCGTCCATAAATGACGTCACGCACTTAGGGGGGGGGGAGGTCAGACATTTGTGACGATGTGTGACGAGGGGGGGGGGGGTTGAGAAATGGGACGTCACATCAAAATGCGCAACTTTAAATAAATATAGACAACACGTTCTACTTAATTAAGTAGACTTTGTAATACATGTTTTCTCCTACAACATCAGAGTGCAGCGCCACATTAAATACGCACTTCAATGACAATAGTTTAAAGCGATTTGAAGCATGTTTTATGTTTTTTTGTGGGGGGGGGGGGGGGCAGAACTTTGTGACGTCATATTTGAGAGGGGGGTCTGACTTTTTGTGACGCCGTGTGACGAACGGGGGGGTCAAAAATCATCCTAAATCGCGTGACGGCCCCTTGGGGTCATACTTCGCTGTCATCTCAGACCCCCTCACGCGCGTATCTTGTCATGAGCGGAGTGGCCGTGTTTACACAGTTTTTGTACTTCGTCCTGAGACGGCGATTGGGACGTTCTATAGAGGATATAGAATAGACGCATTATATACACGTAATATAAATCCATCTTGTAATCGTGTCCTCGTGTCGTACGGAGTGGCCCGAGAAATACCCGGCCACTCGAAATCGTTTACAGAATTTGTACACATTTGTGCAAACATCGTTAGCATCGCTTAGCACGTGTGTGAGAACGTGTGTGTTCACGTGTTGGGGAGTGGTGGCCCAGTGATTAGCGCACTGCACTACGAAGCCAGTGACCGGAGTTATATTCCAACTCACGACCCATAATTGACAGCGAATATTTGATCCGGTATTGTTCTTCGCCTCGGTCGACTCAGCCTTAAATGAGAACCTGATGCGTTATAAACATAAGCACTGGGGAGACAAAGGCGGCCGAGTACGGTTGTTGGCCACCCACCCTCCACCTCGTGTGCCGTGCGGGTCTTCTTAATATGTGCTCACTCACAGCACCTGCCCCAACAGTCTATTAAAGGCTATGTGGGGGGTCTGTGTGTGTGGGGGGGGGGGGGGGGGCAGTGGTGTAGCGGTTAGCGCGCTGCCCTGTGAACTTTGTATCTCGCTGTTGGGTATCCATCTGCCAATATGGACGTGTGCATGTCCAATACTACTGCTTGTGTTGTCACGGTCGGTGCCGCTGTACCGCTCTCTCCCACGTGTTTCCAGCTTGTTAGCGCGTGTTGTTCGGCACGATGTCCGACGTTTCGCGCAACGTTGCTGGGAGCGTCTTCTCGAGCTGATTTGAGTCGCTCGCGTTTTCCCCTCGGATTATACAGCCCTGCTGGCTGCTGCTGCTGCTGACGTTGCCGATTGGCTCGCTTCTCGAGACGTACGTCGGCCCGGAACGTCGGACATTGGTGCCGAGCCAAAACCAGCGGCACAACCCGAAAACACGATCAGAGGACCGCGCGTCCGTGTGCGTGTCGAACGTGTAGGTTGTTGCGTGTTGCTTCTCGGCGCGCGCGTGTGTGTGTGCGCATGGCAATGTGTGCGTTGGTGGGTGTGTGTGTGGGTGTGTGTGTGGGTGGGTGTGTGTGGGTGGGTGTGTGTTCATGGGGTGGGGAGCGAACCCAACGACCCGCGTTCGATGTCCGCTAACGGCCAACACCAGTGGCGATTATCCAAACCGGTTCTGGGCCTCCCCTAGGTCGACTCAGCCTCAAATGACGACCTGATATAAAGTGTGAACGTCGCTACTTGGGAGACGAAGATGGCCAGGCGTGGTCCTGACCACCCACCCCCTTGTGTGCCGTGCGGACCTTGCGCGTACTGTATGTTGGACTTCTTTCGCACCGCACAAAGCCAACCGTGCGGGGGAAAGACAACGAACGAGACACCAAAATCAGTGCTAAAGAAATTAGTTTTCAATCTTGATGTTCGAGAGCATCGCTTCCAGTGGCTTCCTAATATCGGAAGCAAGAGCGTTCCAGACGGCCGCAGAATAAACATTCGCTAACAGTCCGTTCAAGGCTTCACACGCAAGAGGATCCGTCATTGTGCTGTGAGTGTGTTCACGTGTCCATGGTTCTGGTTAGCGTGATGGAGTGAATGTCGCCCGTGTGCCAGTCGGGGTGTGATGACTTCTCTGTGCGCCGGTGGGAGCGGGGCCGCGGGGGGGGGGGGGGTTGAGCGATGTGCGTGGATGGCAAACGGCGTTCGGAAGCAGAGCCGCCCACAGGTGGGGGGTGGTGAGGGGGGGTAGTGGGAGTGGGGGGCGATTTTCACAGTGCCTCACACACAACCCCCCCCCTCACACACAAGGGGCCTGCAAGGAGCCCTGTGGGCGGTCCTGCTTCGTAGCCACATGCTTCATCCCGTGGGCGCGAGTGCACGCGTGGACCCCAGCCAAGGAGGAGGAGGAGGAGGTTGTTTTGTACAGACTTTGTGTTAATAAATGATCATAAAACACTGCGTCGGCACCACCAGCACTCGTGGGTCATATTAAATTTTCAGTGTGTGTGGCCCTGCGTACGACGCGAATGCCCTAATTCTGTTCCATTAAAACAGAGCCGAGAGGTGGGATCCGCAGCGGTCTGCAGGAAGGGAGATGGGGAGGAAGGGAGATGGGGAGATAAGGAGGAAAGGGGTGGAGAGAGGAAACGGGGAGGAAGCGAGATGTGGGGGATGTGGGATAGAGGGACATGGGGAGAGAGGGAGATGGGGGGAGGGAGATGGGGGGAGGGAGATGGGGGGGAAGGAGATGGGGGAGGGAGATGGGGGAGGTAGATGAGAGGGGGAGATGGGGGAGAGGGAGATGGGGGGAGGGAGATGGGGGAGTGAGGGGAGGGAGATGGGGGGAGGGAGATGGGGGGGAGGGAGATGGGGGGGAGGGAGATGGGGGGAGGAAGATGGGGGGGAGGGAGATGGGGGGGAGGGAGATGGGGGGAGGGAGATGAGAGGGGGAGATGGGGGAGAGGGAGATGGGGGGAGGGAGATGGGGGAGTGAGGGGAGGGAGATTGGGGGAGGGAGATGGGGGGGAGGGAGATGGGGGGGAGGGAGATGGGGGGAGGGAGATGGGGGGGAGGGAGATGGGGGGGAGGGAGATGGGGGGAGGGAGATGAGAGGGGGAGATGGGGGAGAGGGAGATGGGGGGAGGGAGATGGGGGGAGAGAGATGAGGGGAGGGAGATGGGGGGAGGGAGATGGGGGGGAGGGAGATGGGGGGGAGGGAGATGGGGGGAGGGAGATGGGGGGGAGGGAGATGGGGGGGAGGGAGATGGGGGGAGGGAGATGGGGGGAGGGAGATGGGGGGAGGGAGATGGGGGGGAGGGAGATGGGGGGGAGGGAGATGGGGGGATGGACATGGGGAGAGAGGGAGATGGGGGGGAGGGAGATGGGGGGATGGAGATGGGGGGGGAGGGAGATGGGGGGGAGGGAGATGGGGGGAGGGAGATGGGGGGAGGGAGATGGGGGGGAGGGAGATGGGGGGGAGGGAGATGGGAGGGGGAGATGGGGGGGAGGGGGAGATGGGGGGGAGGGGGAGATGGGGGGAGGGAGATGGGGGGAGGGAGATGGGGGGGATGGACATGGGGAGAGAGGGAGATGGGGGGGAGGGAGATGGGGGGAGGGAGATGGGGGGGAGGGAGATGGGGGGGAGGGAGATGGGGGGAGGGAGATGGGGGGAGGGAGATGGGAGAGAGGGACATGGGGAGAGAGGGAGATGGGAGGGGGAGATGGGGGAGGGGTAGATGGGGGGAGGGAGATGGGAGGGAGGGAGATGAAGGGAGGGTCATGGGGAGAAGGAGATGGGGGAGGGAGATGGGGGGAGGTAGATGAGAGGGGGAGATGGGGGAGAGGGAGATGGGGGGGAGGGAGACGGGGGGAGGGAGATGGGGGTAGGGGGAGGGGGAGAGGGGGGAGAGGGAGATGGGGGGGAGGGAGATGGGGGGGGAGGGAGATGGGGGGAGGGAGATGGGGGGAGGGAGAATTGGGGGGAGGGGGAGATGGGGGAAAGGGAGATAGGGGGAGGGAGATGGGGGGAGGGAGATGTGGGGAGGGAGATGGGGGGAGGTAGATGAGAGGGGGGAGATGGGGGAGAGGGAGATGGGGGGGAGGGAGATGGGGGGGAGGGAGATGGGGGGAGGGGGAGGGGGAGATGGGGGGAGGGAGATGGGGGGGAGGGAGATGGGGGGGAGGGAGATGGGGGGGAGGGAGATGGGGGGAGGGAGATGGGGGGAGGGAGATGGGGGGGAGGGAGATGGGGGGGAGGGAGATGGGGGGGGAGGGAGATGGGGGGAGGGAGATGGGGGAGGGGGAGGGGGAGATGGGGGGAGGGAGATGGGGGAGGGAGATGGGGGGGAGGGAGATGGGGGGGAGGGAGATGGGGGGAGGGGGAGGGGGAGATGGGGGGAGGGAGATGGGGGGAGGGAGATGGGGGGGAGGGAGATGGGGGGGAGGGAGATGGGGGGAGGGAGATGGGGGGAGGGAGATGGGGGGGAGGGAGATGGGGGGAGGGGGAGGGGGAGATGGGGGGAGGGAGATGGGGGGAGGGAGATGGGGGGGAGGGAGATGGGGGGGAGGGAGATGGGGGGAGGGAGATGGGGGGAGGGAGATGGGGCGAGGGAGATGGGGGGAGGGAGATGGGGGGAGGGAGATGGGAGGGGGAGATGGGGGGGAGGGGGAGATGGGGGGGAGGGGGAGATGGGGGGAGGGAGATGGGGGGAGGGAGATGGGGGGGTGGACATGGGGAGAGAGGGAGATGGGGGGGAGGGAGATGGGGGGAGGGAGATGGGGGGGAGGGAGATGGGGGGAGGGAGATGGGGGGAGGGAGATGGGAGAGAGGGACATGGGGAGAGAGGGAGATGGGGAGAGAGGGAGATGGGAGGGGGAGATGGGGGAGGGGGAGATGGGGGGAGGGAGATGGGGGGGAGGGAGATGGTGGGAGGGACATGGGGGGAAGGAAATGGGGGAGGGAGATGGGGGGAGGTCGATGAGAGGGGGAGATGGGGGAGAGGGAGATGGGGGGGAGGGAGATGGGGGGAGGGAGATGGGGGTAGGGGGAGGGGGAGATGGGGGAGAGGGAGATGGGGGGGGGAGGGAGATGGGGGGAGGGAGATGGGGGGAGGGAGATTGGGGGGGAGGGGGAGATGGGGGAAAGAGAGATAGGGGGAGGGAGATGGGGGGAGGGAGATGTGGGGAGGGAGATGGGGGGAGGGGGAGATGGGGGGGAGGGAGATGGGGGGAGGGGGATGGGGGAGGGAGAGATGGGGGGGAGGGAGATGGGGGGAGGGAGATGTGGGAGGGGGAGATGGGGGAGGGAGAGATGGGGGAGGGAGATGGGAGAAGGGAGTTGGGGGAGGGGGAGATGGGGGAGATGGGGGGGAGGGAGATGGGGGCAGGGAGATGGGGGAGGGGGAGATGGGGGAAGGGGAGATGGGGGGAGGGAGATGGGGGGAGATGGGGGGAGATGGGTGAGGGGGAGATGGGGGAGAGGGAGATGGGGGAAGGGGAAAAATGGGGGAGGGGGAGATGGGGGAGGGGAGGAGATGGGGGGGGAGATGGGGGGGAGGGAGATGGGGGAGGGGGAAAAATGGGGGAGGGGGAGATGGGGGGAGGGGATGATGGGGGGAGGGGGAGGTGGGGGGAGGGAGATGGGGGAGGGAGATGGGGAGATGGGGAGAGGGAGATGGGGGGGAGGGAGATGGGGGGGAGGGAGATGGGGGAGGAAGATGGGGGAGGGAGATGGGGGGAGATGGGGGAGATGGGGAGGGTGAGATAGGGGAGATAGGGGAAATGGGGGAGGGGGAGATGGGGGGAGGGGGAGATGGGGGGAGGGGGAGATGGGGGAGGGGGAGATGGGGGAGGGGAAGATGGGGGGGAGGGAGATGGGGGAGGGGGAAATGGGGGGAGGGAGATGGGGGGAGATGGGGGAGGGGGAGATGGGGGAGGGGGAGATGGGGGGGAGGGGAAGATGGGGGAGGGAGATGGGGAGGGGGAGATGGGGGGAGGGAGATGGGGAGATGGGGGAGGGAGATGGGGGGAGGGGGAGATGGGGGAGGGGCAGATGGGGGATATGGGGGGGGGGAGATGGGGGGGGGGGGAGATGGGGGGGGGGAGATGAGGAAGGGAGATCTTGAGAGAGGGAAGCAATGTGTATTACTACAGACGGTGCAATGCACTGGCGACCCTACGGGGATATACCGGTATACACGGGATGAGGTTCGGCATTAATGGGCATTGTTTTGGGATCTTTTTATGGATGTACCAATTTAAAATATCTACGTGTTAACAATAGTGATGCATAGCGCTTGTTATATTTGTACAGCGTAAAGAAAATACAATGTATGCCATCCGGGCCACGTTTGGTCTTCGTGGAAATGTCGGGGGTTTTTGTTGTTGAATTCATGGGAAAGAGAAAAAACACCCTCAAAAACACACAAATATTAAAACACAATTTTTTTTACTTGCATAGGAAAGTAATTGCATGTTTTCATTTGCTATGCAGCCAGAAAATACGATAAATCGCTAACCTTAAACACCCAGTAGTTCATAAAAGTTGAAGGCAAATTAGTACTATTGTAATAGAGCAAGTGCAGAATCGCTGAACCGGAATTGACAGCTTGAAAGCACTTAGCGCGGGGCCCTTGAAAGTGCGGGGTCCGGAGCATCATGTGAAGCTACTTGTGCTACTGGGATCATTCCGGCACTGCCAAGCAGCAGTCCTTCAAGAGCCGCATGCGGCTCTGGAAGCCGCAGGTTGCACGAGCCCCCAATTAGCGGAACTTGCCCGGCATGTCGAGGACACGGGTTTCCGGCTCAACAGCGAGACGGAGGCAGCAGGCAACGTGAGTGGATGCGTGAGACAGTGAACGAGGTGGTGGGGGTGGGGGTGATGGGGTGAACGAGGTGGTGGGGGTGTTGATGGGGTGAACGAGGTGGTGGGGGTGATGGGGTGAACGAGGTGGTGGGGGTGGGGGTGTTGATAGGGTGAACGAGGTGGTGGGGGTGATGGGGTGAACGAAGTGGTGGGGGTGATGGGGTGAACGAGGTGGTGGGGGTGGGGGTGATGGGGTGAACGAGGTGGTGGGGGTGGGGGTGTTGATGGGGTGAACGAGGTGGTGGGGGTGATGGGGTGAACGAGGTGGTGGGGGTGGGGGGTGTTGATAGGGTGAACGAGGTGGTGGGGGTGATGGGGTGAACGAAGTGGTGGGGGTGGGGGTGTTGATGGGGTGAACGAGGTGGTGGGGGTGGGGGTGAACGAGGTGGTGGGGGTGGGGGGTGTTGATAGGGTGAACGAGGTGGTGGGGGTGATGGGGTGAACGAAGTGGTGGGGGTGGGGGTGTTGATGGGGTGAACGAGGTGGTGGGGGTGGGGGTGAACGAGGTGGTGGGGGTGGGGGGTGTTGATGGGGTGAACGAGGTGGTGGGGGTGATGTGATGAACGAGGTGGTGGGGGTGGGGGTGTTGATGGGG